CTGATCTAGATTATGTAGCTCACCCCCTAGTAAATCCGTTAAAGTGTCAAAAAGTATTTTATTACTCAAATTATATAGGTAAGATGCAAAGTAACTATCTAAATCTGCACATTACACTCAAAAGGCACTCGTTCAATTGAAAATAAGATCTTTGCAGGATTAATAGTAACGTTTCTGTACGTTTAAATTAATACACAAAAAATATAAACAAATTTATTCGAAAAATAAAAAAATTTATTTATTTTTCGCAGTCTGAAAAATCAAGTTATTGCAGTCTAACAATCTACACTTTAGCAGTGGAACTCAATCATCAATTACTTTAAAAACTATAATTGAAAGAATCAAACGGTTTGAAATGTTATTACAATTAAAAAAAGTAGAATGTCATTTTTTTTTCGATATCTGAAAAATCGAGTCATAACAAATAATCAACAAATTAGTTGATTGAATGACAGAAAAACCGTTAATGTGGTTCCCGTTAATGCCTCCGGAAACCGTTTATGTGCACATTACCTAGGTGAATTACGGAAAACGTTTGATTCCGCTCTTTAACGAATTACACTAGTAAAACTGCAGATTACCTAGTAATGTGCTTTCTAACAACTTTCGAGTTTAACGATAGTAGATATATCGTAATTGTGCTCATTTTGTATCCTATATTTTACAGGGCCATACATTTTTTTTATATTTTCATTTCGCAAAAAAAAAATTTTGTCAAAAGTTTCTCAACTTTATGTCAAAATAATTTTTTTTTACTTGTTTCCCTAATAAAAACCTAACCTACAATACCAACAGAAAATTCAGCTGATTTATATAATATTTCAAAATTTAGCAACCATAAATTGCGTACTTTAACATAGTTTAAGATTTCTATTAAAATTGATTTATGCTATTTATCTCGTATATTTTTTAAAAATATAATTTGCTAAAATTTAATCTTTGTGACACAATGAGCTTTTATAAAACTTATTTCATTGTATAGGTTGGACCGATTGTTAAAGTTTGAGTAATAGTAAATATACCATTTATTTAACTTACAAAATTAAAATATTTATCTGTTTTTATCTTATTTAATTTGCGAAGATAAGTGAAAAGAAAGATAAAGGATTGTATTTGTGGTAAAGTGTGCTTTTATATAAATTACTTGTATCTATATGTTTGATCTCACTTAACCGATTGACTCACTTAACCCTTTTATACATTTTTTTCTAAATCTCTGATTACAATCAAAAATATATTTTGGTATTTTTTAATTACCGTCTAATAGTTACTAAAAAACTATTAGATCATCGGAATTCGTACGAAAATCCAAAAAAAGCAGTTTGAAATTCATATTCAAAACTTTATCAATTTTAATACTTTGTAAATTAAAGAAATTTCAATGATAAATAAATGTTTCACTTCTATCTAAATAACTGCAAATAAGTGAAAATATGAAAAATTTTTGTTTTTGAAGAGAGCCGTATTTGGAAAATTTTATTAAGGCAGAAAGAGAGACTGGTGTTTCATGCTCTATTTCAAAACCATTATTAAAATGCTCAGTATAATAATATTTCACATATTTTGACCTAAATGAATACAAGATAACAAAAAAGTTTCGAAAAATATGTTAAATAAAAATTCTGCATCAAAAGTTTATAGTAGTCTAAAAAAATTAATATTCAGCAGTGTTTAGGAAAGAAACTTAACAGAAAATTTCGTTGCTTAGTAAACATGGAGGGAAATGAGAAAACATTAGAAATTAACAAAGAGGATTTTAATAACATTTTCTCTGAACAGTTCGAGGCAATTTCTCCTAAACTATGCAGAGAGTTTTTGAATTAACATGATTCATGATAGCATGAATATTGTCTTAATCACTGTTTGTGTTTTGCTCAATTTCTGTATAAACATATCCATTTTTTTCTCAATTTTCATTATTATTATTTTAGCATTATAAAAACAAGTTATTTAATACCGTGATTCACAAGTTATGAAATTTTAGTTTCTTTATTTTCCATTTTTCATTCATGAAACAATCAGTTATTTTGTTTCTGGACTACGCTTACATTTAACTCCAAACTTTCGAAATGAACGTTTACGAACCTTAACTGATTACCGAAATTCGAGTGCTAGTCATTAAAAGGAAATGAAAATTGAGTTTTAAACCAAGTCAAGTTTATATCATTACATGTAATTGAATATCCTGTTATTTAAAACCTTTTTATCAGTGGATTAGATACGAAGTTAGTTTAGAAATTAATTTACGATGTAGGAAACTGGTAAAATGCGTAATCCGGTAGTAAATTTTTTTTTTGTCTTAGTTATCAGTTTTCTAATCTAACTTTAAAAAGATTAGTCATGCGAATTTCCGCGTGATAATATAAATTCTCGGAATAAGATAAAATAGCAATTTTATACCTTTATGAACAGATAAATTACGGAAATAAAGTATTATATCAGTCTTTACCTCAGCTGTAACATTTATTTTTAGGAATTATTTTTTTTTAATTGGGATAATAATAAATGTTGTTCTAATTATTTAGTTCTGCTCATATTTTTTTTCTTAAATACGTTAGAAATATTTAATGCTTTTAGTGTTTGATTCCTTCTAGGCAGCCGCCTAAAAGGTAGACCTAAGTGCTCCCCCACGCAAGAACTTTAATAGCGTTCTATTTTAGGCATAATACAACTAGTTTTAAATTATAAGATAAGAACACTATGAAGAGACATTCGGGTATTTATAATCATTCATTTTTATTTATATTAATTTATAGATTTTAATTTAAATTATTTTAATATGAATTAATAAAGAATTAATAATCGCGATGAAGAGGTGGAATTTGCAAAAAGTAATAAATTGGAACATTGCATACAATTACTGATAAAAAACATTGAAATGAAATTTACCTTAATAATACAAGGAAATAACTCACAATATTTATATAAAAAGAAGATTGTGAAATAACATGGGTGGACGATGAACTCAGCAGAAATGAATGATTAAAATGCCTGATTCAAAAATCCCAAGTCATTTTAATACCGGATTAAAGATATCAGGACCTTAGAACACGTGGAACAGCCTAGCAATATCTGTTGAAAGAACGATAAGAAAAATCTCCCAGATTTACGATTAAATAGACAAATAAAGCGCATACATTTAAATGCACGTTTCGAGTGTCGTATTAATACATATTTAAAATATCGGTATTTCCAAAGCCATGTGGAAATGCGTAGTGCCGAAAACGAACAATAGAAAAATAGCTTAGATTACGGATAAAATTGACACAAATAAACCACGTTGAAGGTGGTTTATTTGTGTCATTTGTGTCTATCTTCGCCAAGGTGTCTATTTACACGATTCGATTCGAAAGTCGCGAATCGTTATATCGTATTAAAAAGATTGGGATTTTAAGAAACACAAGAAAACCCTTCAAAATCGCAATCGAACTTGGATTAACTATGAAATGGACTCAAAGAGCTTTCAAAGTGATTACTAAAATACGAAATTCACGAATCATCATTGTGTCGTATTAAAATTGTTAGGATTTTTAAAACTTTGGAAATTCGCAGTGATAAACACCGAAAAAAGCTATCAAAAAACAACATTGATTTGGAATTGACGCGTTCAAAAACTTAAATGCGATATTCAAAATTTTTGATTTCATTTCTTTGGGGAAAAAAAATTATAATAGTTTTTTAATGTGTTCAGATGCTGCCGTGGGCTGCAGGTTGTGCACTCCTATAAATTTCAGTATTGTGCGCCCTCAAACCTCTTGCGACCCTCTACGCCGCGGGAGTGTTATTTACGTCACTGCCTATAGACACTTTGATTCAAAAAGCATGTAAAATTAGGATTTGATATGCAGTTTAGAAAAACTGTACGCAATCTTGAAGAAAATTTTTGATCAGCGATCAATATTTTTCGTGACATACGATGATGTGCTGACGTCATGTATAAACTCTGGTAAAATAAATACTGAGTACAAATGAATTTGAATGCTTACTCGTTCTACCTAATTGCGTTCTTTTTTTTTTTTTTTTTTTTTTTTTTTTTTTTTTTTTTTTTTTTTTTTTTTTTTTTTTTTTTTTTTTTTTTTTAATTGACTTATTCTCGGTGACTCTATTCTTCCGTCACATGAAATTCTGTTTTATAGCGAATAATATACTACTTTTTAATTGCTGTGAGTTTTTAAGTTATTTATGACTGTTTAGCTGATCTTTAGCCAGCGGCATTTTCAAAAATAGCATAGCATCTTTAGCCTGCGTTTTCCATGCTGTTTCTGAAAACGGAGCCAGACGGTCAATGTGGTCAATAAAAAAAATTAAAAATAAAGTAAAATATAATAAAAGTCACAATGAAAATGAAAAACATTTGTTGTATAATTTTTTAACATTTGATAACACACTCAAACGCTACATTATTTAGACTCACAAAACGTGACAATAATTCAGAATTATTAATTTTGATGATTATTTAAAATTTTCATCTAGGTAGAACAATCTCGCTAAACTGGCGATTTTTAAAAAGGTTTAATTGCTTTTTACATAAATTATTTGTTCGTTGTGAGGCTAAGATAATTCTTTACGGTGAAATGTCATTTTAAATTATATATTTGCTTTGAGAGTAAGGACTTTTAATTTCCTTGGTCAAAGAGCTTAAGAAAACATCCTTAAGAACATTGTTGCCAATTTATACAGTAATCAGGAACTATTTTGCAAAATGTTAAGGAATTAAAGGGTGACCAGTTTTTTTTAAACAAAAAATTAAGTTACCCTGCCAATGCTTAAAAGAATTAAAAAGATAACTGCATGATTATAGATCTTACAATACATATGTTTGAATTATTGGCTTGATTTAGTGGGTAAGAATTCGAATTCTTCCGAAAATTTTAAACAATGAATATATTATTATATAAATGTAGTTCTACGATCTTACTAGCTACAAATGTATAAATTAGCTTCCTATTTTCTTTGAATTGTGTTGCGTTTCTAAGTATTTTTGTTTTTCTATCTTTCAGAAATTCGTCTTTTGATGAAATTAGAATATGCCTCACGGAACAATGGACGCCAACCAGCCGCTGAGTCTTCACACTGGAGAGCTCAAAGTTTTCCTCCAGGTTCGTAATTTGTACTAAACTACATTTTATGTAAACGCCTTTTGTTCAAACAGTTTGATTATCATAAAAATGTAATTTTTTTTTGCTGTGGAATAGTAAAATTTTTCCTTACGTTCCAAAGGACAATGGGATAAATGCAAGTGTCGTAGTGTGGGTATCTTGATTCTTGTAGAAACGTGGCATTTGTTTACGTTTGCAACTATTCCTTCCATTCTATTTCGAGTAAGCCAAGCCTGCCAACTATCAGTTTTCTAGAGCGACGCATTCTATATTCATTCATAAAGATTTCAATTCCTTCACAATATATTTCTTAACACACAGAGACAGACACGAAGCCATGTAGGACACAAACTAATTATGCATAGTTGCCAGGTACCTGAAATAAAAATATATCACGGTTACTATAAAATACATAAACAAATAATAAATCTTAAGTAAAAGATGTAAATGAGAACGAATTATACTTTAACGAATTCGATGTGCGATGCGGCTTTGTATTTAATTAACTTCACGTTAATAAACATTTTAACTTGTTTGGAGAAAAATAGCTCGGATTTAACTCCCCATATTACTCGTCTTCTTGTTTATAAACGATCAGCTGGCGCGTGTCTGTAGATCAGTGATTATCTTCTCGAGAGGCAAGTACCGAATTCAGATACCGCTTTTACAACTTTGCACTTTCAGCTGTATTTTCTCCCGATTATTAATTTTTCATTGGAAGTCGTTTTAATAATTAAGTAGGGTGGTAAAAATAGTTTTGACATTTAGATTCCTTGGTCACTGACATACCAGCCAGGGTACCCTGGATCTAAAAATAGCCACTTTTAAATAACATTTTATCCAATGGATTTTTCCATTTGATTCATATTAGGTAACAGGTGTCTTATAAATTCCTTGTGCAAGAAACCGTGGAAAATGTAAATATCGGTTGGTGAGTTGCTGTTTACAGCAGAAAGTTTTGCGAGTAATTTACAGTTCTGTATTAAAGCCGAATTCGGGCACTTTAAAAATTTTTATATCTGTGTTACGGTAGTGGTGTATATGTTTATTTGAAAGTTTGGTTACGATGTGTTTAAAAAGCATTCAAATTTATGTTAGATGTTTCCAAGTTATTTCACTTGGCTTTGTAAACTTCAATTGGTTTGTCAAAATCTCTTTCTGAATATATAATTGTTTCAGGAGATTGTTTGAAAAATACATTTAATTGCATTGAAACCTTGGACCTTCAATTGAAGACCTTAATTTAAGAACAAGTTGAATTTTAAAAAAAGAAATTAGAATACAAGCTTGTATATATCGATAAGCCAGAAAGCAATGAACAAATAATTCTTTTTCTCGTTAAAAAAAGTTTTATGTGAAGACTTGCTGGAATTAAGTCATCTATATATATATTTCTCTTACACGGCACCAAAAAAATGTCTCATTACAACTCCCCGAATGGCAACGTTAGAAAAGCGACCAATGATTGCTACTAAAAATGTCACATGGCAAATCTAGACGAGGTGGCTCAATATATAGCGCTTTTAAAAACGGAAACAATAATCAGAGTGAGCATTATCAGGTTGTTCAATTCAGATTCATGCCCTAAAAACATGATAATATTTAATTTAATCTGACTCAACATGTAGCCCTTTTAAAAACGGAAACAATAATCAGAGTGAGCATTATCAGGTTGTTCAATTCAGATTCATGCCCTAAAAACATGATAATATTTAATTTAATCTGACTCAACATGTAGCCCTTTTAAAAACGGAAACAATAATCAGAGTGAGCATTATCAGGTTGTTCAATTCAGATTCATGCCCTAAAAACATGATAATATTTAATTTAATCTGACTCAACATGTAGCCCTTTTAAAAACGGAAACAATAATCAGAGTGAGCATTATCAGGTTGTTCAATTCAGATTCATGCCCTAAAAACATGATAATATTTAATTTAATCTGACTCAACATGTAGCCCTTTTAAAAACGGAAACAATAATCAGAGTGAGCATTATCAGGTTGTTCAATTCAGATTCATGCCCTAAAAACATGATAATATTTAATTTAATCTGACTCAACATGTAGCCCTTTTAAAAACGGAAACAATAATCAGAGTGAGCATTATCAGGTTGTTCAATTCAGATTCATGCCCTAAAAACATGATAATATTTAATTTAATCTGACTCAACATGTAGCCCTTTTAAAAACGGAAACAATAATCAGAGTGAGCATTATCAGGTTGTTCAATTCAGATTCATGCCCTAAAAACATGATAATATTTAATTTAATCTGACTCAACATGTAGCCCTTTTAAAAACGGAAACAATAATCAGAGTGAGCATTATCAGGTTGTTCAATTCAGATTCATGCCCTAAAAACATGATAATATTTAATTTAATCTGACTCAACATGTAGNACGATCAGCTGGCCCGTGTCTGTAGATCAATGATCATCTTCTCGAGTGGCAAGTACCCAATTCAGATACCGTTTTTACAACTTTGCACTTTCAGCTGTATTTTCTCCCGATTATTAATTTTTAACTGGATGTCGTTTTAATAACTAAGCAGGGTGGTAAAAGAATTAAGCAGGGTGGTTAAACAGGTTACCGCTCCAGCAAACACTACTTAACACTCTCAGAAATGATGCGAGACACATTTTTCTGACTTTTTATAACACTAAAATGACCACCTGTTGTTTTATGCCACTTGCCAACCAATACCAGTAAGCCTATTTTAAACCGGGGCGACTGCGTTGCTATTTTTTCGCCAGTTGCGCCAGGCCAGTACCCGTAGAGGTATTGTTTTTTTTATAGGAACTTAGGACTTTGTGACCCCGACAGATTTAGCGTGCACCAATCAACATTTTACTCTTTACTCACGGAGAGTCTTCATATGGCGGGATTCGAACTCACGAACATATGGGCCTAACGACATACCAGCTAGGGTACCCAGGACCTAAAAATAGCCACTTTTTAACCACATTTTATCCAATTGATTTTTCCACTTGATTCATATTAGGTAACAGGTGTCTTATAAATTCCTTGTGCAAGAAACAGTGGAAAATGTACATATCGGTTGGTGAGTTGCTGTTTACAGTAGAAAGTTTTCGCGAGTAATTTACAGTTCTGTATTAAAGCCGAATTTGGGCACTTTAAAAAATTTCATATCTGTGTTACAGTAGTGGTGTACATGTTTATTTGAAAGTTTGGTTACAATGTGTTCAAAAAGCTTTAAAATTTATGTTAGATTTTCCAAGTTATTTCTCTTGGCTTTATAAACTTCAATTGGTTTGTCAAAATCTCTTTCTGAATATATAATTGTTTCAGAAAATTGTTTGAAAAATACATTTAATTGCATTGAAACTGTTGAATTGAAGACCTTAATTTAAGAACAAGTTGAATTTTAAAAAAGAAATTAGAATACAAGCTTGTATATATCGATAAGCCGAAAGCAATGAACAAATAGTAATTCTTTTTCTCGTTAAAAAAAGTTTTACGTGAAGACTTGCTGGAATTAAATCATATTTTATATTTTCTAAATTAATTACTTGTGACAATATAGTAATAATGTTTTCAAATGGTTTTGAAAGGTGAAATCATTAATCAAAGGTGAGCCTTACAATTTATTATGTAAATGGAAACAATATTAAGGAATAGTTCAATTTTAAAATGCTCCTTACTGCAGAGATGCCAACTTGCTCCGGACAGCAAATACATATTTTAAAGTGGTAGTTTATCAATTGTGATTCTTGTTTTAATAAGTTCAATTTAGTAGATTTTTATCCACCACTATTTCTAAATAATTCATAGACTTATATAATTCACCACTTTATAGTATTTATGTCAAGCTATTCCTTTTAAAAAGCAAGCAAAAATAGTCAAATGCTTGCAAAATTTACTTTGTAGTTATTTACCGTTTTTTTTTTCTCCAATTATTTTGGCCTGTCCGGAGCAGTTGGCATCTCTGCTGTTGTTTCCAGATAGGTATTTTGCAAGTTTTAAGAATTTCTGAATTTCCATTTGATAATAGCAGAGAAATATCTTTTTGACAAACGTGGAGTTTGTCACAAAAATGGACGAGTTGAAAATGTGACTTATCATTATACTGTCTCAAGCGTTTCATAGGATTTGTTGCCCAGAAATCAATGTTTGAAAAGTGTTAAAAACATTTTTCCATTGAGTTCGCTCCGCCCCTTTCACAGAATATAAGCAATTTGACTGATTTATCGGAATTAGTAACAGTGACGTTTCCTTGCGTCATTACGTCATCTAATCGTTATCTTTTAACAATCTTTTATCTCAAGCTGACTTGTCAGATTTTAAACATTTAATCGTCATTTAGATTTGTTTAAACAATGTTTCTGCCTGCATTTAATTTATCTTGTTATTTTCCAAGCGCAAGTAAGATTTTTTATTGCTCTTCTCTAAGTTAGCAAAATGTTGTTTTAATTTATTTTCTTTGTTCTGAGCTAAAGAACGTTCAAAGAACTATGTAATTTAAATTTAAATTAAAAACCAAATGATAAGTGTTATGAATGTCATTTTATTTTAAGCACTAGCGAATGACATATTGCTTAAAAATGGTTTTATACAAATGAGCGGAATCTCTGCCGATACCCATCACACTTTCGCAGGTGGCTTCTTCCGGTTCTTCCTGATCCCTAGGAACTATTTTTTCCCCCTCGCATTAATCATCATAGTCATACATGTGTCGTAAGTGTGTTCAAAACTAGAGCTATTTAATTTTAGTTTAAATTAAAAACTAAACGATATTTGTCATCTATACATTGGGTGTGAATTTAAATATTGGCACATATCATTAAACCTTCCTGCCTCACGCTACAGATCATTACATGTGGTCCAATATAATAGTTTGTATATCCCTCAAAGAGTGTTCGTAAGAGTTATATTCAAATTAGGGGAAACACAAATAAAAGTAGTATAATGTCAATAAATCATATCCATTATAGTGACCCTCCATAAGCATTGCTTTAATAATAGACTTATTTTTAACAGTTTTTAGTGTGGTGCAGTTGGTTAGGGTGTCAGGTTATAGATCCAAAGGTACCAGGTTCGAAACCCGGAGTGTTGTGGTCGTAACATAAGTTAAAAGAAAATTTCTTTTTGACAAAATAAAACAGTAGAGCCGTGGTGGCTCAGGGGATAGAGCCTACTCCTACCAATGAAGTGAACTGGGTTTGAATCCCAGTGATGGCTTGTCGTTATGAATTCTACACCTGGCTCGCATTGACCACAGTGCTGACGTCAAGATATCCTCAATGGTAGATGGATCATGGGTTAGAGTCCCCTTGTCGTCAGACTAACCGTGGGAGATTTTTGTGGTTTTCCTCTCCATGTAAAGCAAATGCGTGTTAGATCTATCAAGAAGTCCGCCACGAAGGTAAATTTCTCCCAATACTTCATCTAGGTCTTGACCCTTGTCCTCTGGATTGGGCTCAAAATCACAAGGCTACGAACAAAATTACAAGGTTGAACATTAGTAGTCGTAAACAAAAAAAATTAGGTCGTCTGTTCAACGACGGTAATAAAATAAAAACTATAGCAGTGGAAGCATCGATTTAATAAATAATTTTAAAAAAATTTCTGATTCTTTAATTTTTTAAAAAGGAATTCAAACAAATGACTACCTCTGTTTTTTATTCAATTTTCAACCTCCAAATTCTACATAAAATTGCTCAAATTTTACATAAAAATGCACTTATTTAAAAAATTACGCGAATTATTTTGATTTTAATGTCATAAATTGTTTGTGCTTAGCTGAAATAAAGCAATGATTTTGATTTATCATATCCTTAATAGAAACAAAATGTCCAATGGAGTTATATATATATTGCATAGTCTGGTTGCCCGGTTTAGATCAGCATTTCCGTATTTAATAACCGTCGTTGAACAACTGACCCAATTTTGGGTTTATGACTACTACTCCTCAACCATGTAGTTTCGTAATTTCGAACCCAAATCAGAAGACGAGGGAAATCCTGGATTAAGCATTGAGTGAAATGTTTTTAAAGGAGAATCTTTTTGATGGAACTAATTCCTGTTTGCGTTACATAGAGAGGAAAACCACAAAAACCTTTCGCGGTTATCCTGATGGTAAGGGGATTCTAACCCATGATCCGTGTGCCGCTGAGGATATTTCTACTTCAGCACTGGGGTCTATGCGAGCCGGGTTCGGAATTCGTATCAACCAGCCTCGCTGGGATTCGAACCCGGTTCACCTCATTGGAAGGTGAACGCTCTATCTCCTGAGACACCACAACTCTGTGTCAGTGCATCGGAAATATATATATATTTTTCATTTCCCTTTTAATTTTACCTCCTACTTATGTTATAACACGGCTTTTTCTATTTCGCTCAGTATTTAAAATAGTTGTTTGTTTGGCTAATTTCAGTTATTTTTTCAGTCCCTTCGTAGTGATATATTAAAAGACGTAGATAACCATATTTTCAAAGCTATTGACAGATTAATTATGGATCTGGAGTTAAAGCAAAGAAAACCACAAAATGGAACAACCAAAGAAAAACCTCCTACCAAGTAAGATTTATCAATTTTTCATCCAATTTTTAAAGGCTATTATAATGTGCATCCTACGGTACCGATTGCGAAATTGAAGATCCAGTTAGTATGAAAAAAATGACATTTATTTAGAGGTAAGGAAAATTTTCATTTCTAACGAAAACAAGATAACACTTCCATAGGTTCAGACGATTTTTTATACGTTGACAGAATTAATTCAACATCAGAATATTCTTTAGGTGATGATATTAATCAAAAACCATTATTCTCTTATCCCGTAACGAGTAGTTCACATTTTTCAGCTAACACTTTGACTTATTTTTTCCCGTAACGGATTTACTACCATTCTTCACTACAATTAGTCCCAGAATCTGTTAACTCTGGAAGAATGGGATACTTGTAAGTATGTAAGTGATGTAGTTTGGGTATCTCGATCCTGATAGGTTGTTGAAACGTGGCATTTGTTTACGTTAGCAACGGTTTTTACTATTCTTTTTCAAGTAAGCCAAACCCATCAGATATTAATTCTTTCAAGTGACGCATTCTATATTCTATCACAAATATTTTAATTCTTTCGGTATATATTTCTTACTTAATATAAAGACAGGCACGAAGCCATGTAGTACATAAAGAAAATAATTATGCATCGAAGTTAACAGGTACAGAGAACAAAAATATATCACGGTTTCAATAAAATAAATCAAAGCTCAGTAACGAAGACGAGAAAGAATTATATTCCAGCAATTTCGATGAGTGTTACGGTTCTGTATTTAATTAACTTCACGTCAATTAGTATTCTAATTTATGTAAAGAAACTTAGCTCCACTTTAACATACCATTATGCTTATAAAAGATCAGCTGGTACTGACGTCATAGGTCACATGTGTGGGTATCCTTGATCCTCTTCTTCTTGAAGTGCAAGTACCCAATTCCAAAAATGTCATCTGCTTTTTTAATCTACTTTGTTGTACCGCCCTTCGTAGTTGCTGACGTCAGCCTTTGTTTTTCTTGATGACTCTTATAGTGCATACTAACTTCAATGTTAGGTGAGAATTTTGCTGTTAATTTATAAGGATTGAAGGTTCCTCTCTGCATCCCTTATGCATATAAAACATAAGGGAGACCAGGATCAGTTTAGCAAGAACTGGATTCAATCATTCCGTGATTAGTATCAACGGGGCCAACTGCAGAATTATACTCTAGAGTTGGCAAGATAAAGAATTATGCTTATAATACGAAACAGATGCTTGCTTTTACTTTTTTTCTTCAAATGCATCACCCATCCATGTCCAAGCACTTATCTTGTTTTTCAGGGTTCTATCTTTTAATGGCCATGCTAGGAATTCCACGCAATAGGGCACTTGCGCTTCAAGAAGATCACAGATACTCACACACGAGACCTTCGTAGTCAGCTCCTTTGATAATCTCATTTCTAAGCAAAATGACATGTTAAAGTTGAGCCAAGTTTCTCCACATAAGTTAGAATGTTAATTAATTTGAAGTTGATTAAATACGGTACCGTATCGCACATCGAATTTGTTGAAATATAATTCTTTCTATTCTATATCTTTTACTCATTCATTGTGACTTAGATTTATTATAACTGTGATACATTTTTGTTCGCTGTACTTGGCAACTTCAATGCGAAATTAGATTGTCTATGTTCTATATATCTTCGCTCTTGTGTTAAGCAAGAAATATATAGTGAAAGAATTAAAATCTTTATGGAAGAATAAAACAATGTGTCACTTAAGAGAGTTGGTTCTTGACGGACGGACTTTGCTTACTCGAAATAGTATGAGAAGAACAGCTGCTAACGTAAACAAATGCCACATTTTAACAACCAATCAGGATTGAGATAACCACACTACGTCACTTGCAGGTATCCAATTCCAAATGCTTTAATTATAACTTCAATGCGTGACATCACACTTTTAACCTTCCCTCTTCCTTGTCACGAAATATATATTTGCAGATATTAGGTACATTTTCCGGTGTGTTTTTTTCACTCTGATTTGAATGAGATAAAATTCGAGTCAATAGAAGAAGTATGTTTAACGTTATAAGTTCAAATCAAAAGTATAATTTTTTTTTTTTTTACGAAACGAATTTAAACTTTTTTAAATGTTATCTCTCATGTTTTGTCTCATTGAATTCTGAATGTTGAAATACATTGGAAGCAATGCCTCACTTGCTTAGATATATCAAATGTGTAAATAATGATTAAGTGCAATATTGTAGTTCTAATGCATAAGTGCAACATTGAACTTCTTAAATAATAGTCCGATCTTCTGGAAATTTTTTTCATTCGGTTACATGGGAAACAATACCTCAGTTACCTGTATAGAAAAAATTCAATTGGTCTTTTTAAAACCACCGCCATTTTTTAAAAGGGTACAGAAGATAAGTGGGCTAGTTTTCAGGCATCATTTACTAGTATATAAACAAAGCTTTCTATGAAAAAAAATCTTGGGTATTACTTTTTCCAATGAAAATCATCCTATTTTGTTGAACTAATTACTGTTTGACGTATAATTTTGTTTTTATGTACAATTTTTTTTTGTATTTTCAGAAAAGAGAATCCCAAAGAATTACCACCGAAAGAATTTGAGTTTCGAAATTCCACACTAACGTAAGGCACTGATATTAATTATTCTATAGAGTCTTGTACTTTTGCACCTTGTCATTGAGACTTATTCATTTATTCATTCTTAGGAACCTTTGGGAAGTATCTCATGTAAGATCTGTCTATAACATTTGTCTCGCACTCTTCGTACTTTTATACTTGAATATCATTACTTTCTACTTTATTAATCCACAAAAGTAAGTACTTTTTATAATTCAAAGCTTTAATTTCATATGTATATGTTACCATGAATTACCGAAATCAAAAGAATGTCGACTTTCACCTGTGAATGTAAAGAGAGTCGCTTTAATGAATGTCCGAAATATTTGCTATATCCAAATTTGATATTAATGTGTTCGTTGATATTATTATATTTCTTCGATATTTTATTATCTGCTGAGGATAGATTAGAGGAAACATGAGTGTTCGGAGTATCGGTTCAATGCATTCTGGGCCGTGACACTGAACCTTTAAAAAAAAAGCATTGATGTAAGATATACCGGGCAGTGGCACTTAACTAAACCTGTTATGTATTTCGGACATTCACCAAAGTCACTATGTGATTGTTGACATTCACCGGTGAAGGTCGACATTCTCTTGACTTTGGGCATTCACGATAACATAGATATATATATTCATTCTAAATTTACTGTTCTATCAATTGTATCGTTAAAATAACTTTACTGACTGTTACGTGTATCAAATTTTACAGTATAATACTGTAAGAAATTTTACTACAGTAGGGAACCGATTATCCGGAACGAACGGGACCATCGCTATTCCGGATAACTGATTTTTCCGGTTTTCAGAATCGTTACAAAGAGCCGTTTTTTTATTGTTAAACCCAACTAAAAAAAAAAAAAACATTTGGAAATAATCTTAAAAAGAAGAAAAAACGATGAAGTAATACACTAATGATTATTTCCAAAATGATGGTAAGGTAAACATCTTTCAAAAAAAAAAGAAAAATCCTAAAATCTTATGAAGAAAAAAACATTCTTTTAAAAAAATGGCGGGAAAATGTATCGAATTTTGTTCCGGTTTTTTGGTTTTCCGGTTTTCTGTTTTCCGGATCACGGGTTCTCTACTGTATTATAAACTTAACTCTATATTAACACCAAAAATGATGTTAAGATATACCTTTTTCTGACGCTTCTACGCTAAACTTTTAAGTGCGGTGTTTAACGAAACATACATGTTAGATCGCTGTGTAATATCTATGGAATTTCTTTTATCTTTTGTAATAGTCACATGTTAAGAAAAGTAATTAATTCTATCATTTTTTTATATGGCTTATACGAAAAAAAAATTTGTTAATTTATTTTTTTCATTGAAGGTTATTTCAAGATTTGTCTGTGGTGTCATGGACGTTTGGAAAGTTCCACATAGTGACTGCCTATTGGTTTGGAATCAATGCCTCCATTCTTTTCATATTATATCCCACTCTCAAATACTGGGCAACATCTAGAATTACTACAAAAAGAAAAGGTAGATGAGTTTGTAATCAATGAAAAATATTTTGTTCTAATGCAAATAATATTCCTTTTTTAGTGTTTCACTGGTGTAAGAAGTTAAGAGAATTTGCAGACTGGGTCGATTATCTCTAGAACTACTAGACCGATTTTAATCAAATTTGATATGTAGGTACATACATTCATACAATACAAAACAAATAACTCTACAATTGTAATACACACGCATGATCATGCGTAACACTCGTTGAAGTTGGAAGGTAGGAAACAGTGGTTGCAGAATTATAAAAAAAGTTGGTTAATAGGGGGTAATAGGTTCGCTCTTACAGATATACAGGCCTGGCAGCATGATTCATACTTGAAATAAGGCAGTTTATCCTGTGGCAATGGGTCCCATTCGTTCAGCAACACTGTTTTCATTCCCTGGAGGGTTCTCGAAGGGGGGTAGCGAGTAGCAATTGCCCTCCCCTGAGCATCCCAGATATGCTCTATAGGTATGAGGTCTTGAGATTGATAATTAAATATGCTCCGCCATAATGGTCGATTTCGTGGACATTGTAGGATAGGTAGTGGGTCCCTGGTTCTTTCAAATATGAACGTACGGCGAGAATCGGTGTTTATGCTGAACCAGAACTCATCAATGAAGAGAATGGTCGCCCATTAATCCACACTCCAATCTCTCTGCACCATGCTGAACGGACTCTCCTGTTCGTAGAAGTGTGCGGGACACAATCAGTAGGTCTTCTTGCAAACAACGCTCTCTCATGAAGTCGTTTGGAAACAGTCACCCTTGATACCCGGGTTTCTGTGGCTGCATTAAAGTCATGAGAGAGCTGAAAAGCTGTAGCCCCTCTTTTAGGCCTTGCTATAATGGACAAATCGCTATCTTCTCTGGTCGTCGTGACTCGTGGACTACCTTGTCCAGGCATTCTCTCGATGGATTCGTTATCCTGGAACTGTCTTCACAAGTTACACACGACGCTGGGCGTTAAATTGAACTCACTATAAATCTGGACCTGAGATTGGCTTGCCTCTACTTTAAAATGATGTAAAAAATTTTATACCTTATAGTTAATTTTTTCTATTATTATTAAGTAAAATAATAAAAAATAATAAATACTTACTAAATTTGTTTTTTTGTAAGGAATTATCTTTGGTTAAAAGAATTGCAAATGTGCGGAAAAAAAATTCTATTCGCTTCAAACATTATCAAGTGAAATTAACATTAAGGGGTTCAAACTTCGAGCCGCTCTTCTGTCCAAACTATTGGGACCGTTATTCCCAGATTGCGGCTACCCCCTATATATATCTTTTTTTTGGAGGAGGAGGGATCAGAAATTTAAATCCCTCTTAAAAAAATGTGTTTATTAAGAGAAAGTGAGTTTTTGTGTCTGATTTCGTAACTTAAAATATCATTTGCACTTATTAATTAGAATATTTGAAGTCATCCCTTCGAGCCATTAAGAGAACGTAAATATCCTATCATTGGATCAAAAGTTATTTAGGGTGGTCTGCTTTTTATTTTGCGCACTTACACGAAGCAGGGTACGAAATTTAAAACAGACCACATCAATGAATGTAAATTTTTTTTTACTTTCCACTTCTTTAGAACATTTCGATCAATTCGTTAACATTTTGGATTTTACTATTGAAAATTACATACTTTAAAAAGACGTAAAATTTTGGATGCCTTAAAAATCAAAAGTGTTTTTATGATCAATATATTAAATTACAAATAATCACAAGGAATTTAAATTTTGCATGATATCATGTTTGGTTGAACAAGCTTTAAGACTGAGTGCAAAAATAATAATAATGAATAAATAAATTATGTTTTTTGATTAAAAGTTCCGGTGTTTCTGAGAAATACGTAAAAAATGAAATTAACATTAAAGGGTCCAAGGCTCCAAACTTTCAAGCGGTTAGCGCACCTGACTGCGAAGCCAATGGCTACGGGTACGAATCCCGACAAAATTTCAGTACCTGCTGTTAAAAAAAAAAAAAAATTAAAAAAACTTTTGAGGGATCATATTTCTTAGGTAGCAGCTACTCCTTACTTTTTGAGTTTTACAAATCTAAATTCTTCAAGGGGGAGGGAGTATGCTTATTCAGAGAATGTACGTTTTTATTGTCTGTTTTCGTAACTTAAAATACCGTCTGCATTTATTAATTAATATATTTAATGTTATATTGGTAGCATTAAAATGTCACCTTAGTATCTAAAAATTCAATCAGTGAATCAAAAGTGTTCCATTTTTTATGTTGCTCACTGTATACCTTATTGTTTGGTGGAAAATAGAATACTTATTATTATTATTTCTTTTTTTAGGACTGTATGACACCTTATTCTGCTTGTTGTTTATTATTTATCAGCTATCGATCTTAATTATTCCTGCTAGAATAGTTGTTGTTTTCAATCTGCCGCCTGTGTCTTCATTTGTGGTACTCGCTGAACAAGTAAGTTAGGTCTAATTTTCGAAATGTACAATCAAAATACAACTAATGATTGGGGAAAACTCTTACGGTTTCTCTATGGAAAGAACTCCCCTTACCATTCGTTATGAGCAGTAGCAGTGGCTATAGCTACGAGGTTTAACAATTTTATGGGGATGTTGGGTTAAGACAGATTTATACTCTGGTCGGTGTAAGAAAGGGAATCAAGGAATGCGTTATTCCTTGTTTACATACGAGCAGATGACCTGAGATTTTGTGGGAGGGGAGTTCCTTGTACAGACAAACTATAACTGTTTTATTTCCACTCTAATTATTTGCTTTTATTGAAAGGGGTTTAGCCAGTTCTGTTACTGACCGAGGTATACTTGTTTCGAGGTTTGTATAACTTTCAAAAGTGATATTTATTAAAACTTGAAACAAAATTGCAGCAAATATATTTACATTTTGGCTGTTTGGCACAAAGTGGAAAGATGATTAGTTATCCGTTAGTAAACATATTTTGAAGGGTGTTTGAAATTATGGATTGCTGCCATGTCTTGCAGGATAAATTGCTGTTCAAAACTCTTTAACACACACACAATTATTTTAATTAATTTAATTTAATTTTAATTTAAATCAAAAGTTATAATTTTAAACTATTTTTACTATCCCGCAGTAAACATTTATCGGGCTTTGGAACTATCATAATTATTAAAGAATTTATTGAACTTTTTTGAGAATCGATAATTTGGCCAGAATTTTTCACTTGCATTAAAATCCATTATCCATTTTTGTAAATTTTTCTGAGCAAAGATAACGGAACTCTGTTGAAAATTTTAAAATATTAAAACATTAGATCACAACCGTTTTTTATGTTTCCCAAACTGTGAAATTGCTTCACTGTGACGTCAGAATAAGCTTTGAGGGTGCTGCCGGCTAAACCTGGCGTAACAGTCATGAATAACTATTGCAAACTCGCAAGAGTTATATAAATTGAAAATCATTCGTTAAACAACGTTATTTCATATGAGCACACAATCTTAGAAAAACAGTATTAAAGAATCAAAACTGAACAAATAGAAATGATGATAATTGTTCTTTTCTATCTAAAAGTGTGTAACTAGTTTACTTTTGTTTAATCTATTTATTTTTGTGTGTTGTGCCAAAATTTCATACTTGGAATTTTTAATCTAGGCTAGGCTTATTATGAAAACCCATGCTTTTGTTCGAGAGAATGTCGCAAGAGCTTTAAGATACAAACCTCACCAAGGTAAAGAAAACAACTTTTTTTTCTCTTTTTTTTTATTCATTTGATTTAGTCTAAATTTCACCAATGTAAACAATTTACTTCATAAAAAAATTTCTTTCAATGTGATTAAGATAATTTTTTTTTGTCAGAAATATTGTAAAATTGCAGTATATTTTTAACAGTGACATGGTTAATAATATTAGGGTTTTTTTGTGTTATTTTTTGGTTCATTTCGAACAAAAATCACCGGACTTTAACTTACCTTTATTTTTTCCTATTAGCGTTAAAAAAAATTTTTAAATTAAAATTTAATTTTTTATTAGGAAAAATATAAATTAAAATCATAACACGATTTATGAATTTCAAATAATTAAAGTAAAATTACTAAAATATGTAAGCTCCAAATTTCATGTAGTTTTGAGTTATTAAGTTTTTTAATTTGAAAAAAAAAACGTGCCTAAATTATCAAGGAGAAAAGTCGACATGAAAAGATTTAATAGTAATAGTTGAAAACTGAATGTGAAAGATAAATAATTTCAATATTTTTTAAGCAATAACAGAAAATTATTAAAAAAATTATTTTTATCATGTCAGTAACATTTCAGTAAAGACATTTCAGTAAAGACAAACCATACATATGAAAAATTATGATGTATGCTTGTTACTGTGAATGACAGAAATGGGTGGTTGTTGACTTCCACCGTTGAATGATGACGTCACATAGTCACTTTGGTCAATGCCTGAAATATATATTAGGCCCAGTTAAGTGCATACATTTTCCTGGTATGCCCTACATCAATGTTTTTTAAGGTCAAGTGCCACTGCCCATTATGCGTTTTACCGGTACTCCGAACACTGGTGTTTCTCCTAATCTTATTCTCAGCAGATATTAAAATATCGAATAATTATAATAATATCCACAAATAAAATTAATATCAAATCATATATAACAAATATTTTGGACATTCACCAAAGCGACTATGTGATGGTTGACATTCACCGGTGAAAGTCGACATTCTCTTGATTTCGGCCATTCACGGTAGCATACTCATTGGAACGGGAAATAAAATTCGACATGTTTCAAGCGCTTGATAATTAGGCGCCCATTTTCAAGACTTGCCAGGCGTGAATGAGAAGAAACAAAAGTGATTTGAAATATAAAACGTAAAGTTAACAAAAATGGAAAGATAAAGGGGAGAAAACAAAACTAGAAAAAACCACAGTAGCCGAGAGAGAAAAAAAGCAAGAAAAAACACAGCACCTGATTTTGGACATTGACAAGAATACTTCCACTCCAGTCTTGTTTTATTCATCTGAATGCTGATTCCTTTACCACCTCTCCATGACGCTTGGATATGCCTTTTACCCTGATTTGTCCCTTTCTACCACTGTGATTTTTCATGTTCTATTTTCCAGCTTTTTTTCCTCTAGATTACTGTGATTTTTCTAGTTTTTTTTTTCTCACCTTCATTTTTAAATTTTTCGTTGGCAACTTGACGTTTTATATTTCAAATCACTTTTGTTCCTTCTCAGTCTGACGAGTTTTGAAAATGGCGCCTATTTTTTGGGCTTTAGAAACATGTCAACTGTTATTTCCAATCTGTAGTTTTTTGAAGAGAAGTTTTTAATCGAGTCAATGGATTATTGTTTTGATAAAAACCTACTATAGCACGGAACCCTAGAATTCTACGGAATGCCATCCGATCACCGCTGCATTAGATTGCATTAAATATACAAAAGGGAGAAAAATCAATTCATAATTTTGGCTGCCACACTGTGGAGCAAAAATTATTTTTCGCGGTCAAAAATAAAAGAAATGAAGTTATAAGAAAAAAAAATCTCAATATGGTTTTTTGTAGTAAAATGTCCAAGGAATATGACGGTGTATTTTTTATTTATTATTATTTTTTTTTGTTTATTAATGGAAATAGCAATTAAATGGAAACAAAGTCAAAATAAAAAAAATTAAATTTTTCAGTTAAATTTTTATTAATATGATAAATCCTTATAGTAAATAAAAATATTAAAATTATTCATGATTTATACATAAATGTATTTCTAAGATATATATGAATTCATTATTTTATATAAATACTATTAAAACCAGAGCCATTTCTCTATTTCTGCCTGTACAATGAAATTGTAACTTTAGGGTGCTCTATAAAAAAAGTTTTACGTTGCCGAGGTAAAAAAAAATTGTGTACATTTGTTTGGTATATATACTCAAGAACTAAAAAAAATGAGCTGCAAATATTTGCGAATTTGGCTAATATATCGATTTTTATAGTTCGTGTCATTTTTATAATAATGATAAAATTAATGAAAAAATTATAAAAATAAACTTGAGATTATTATTTTTGTTATAACATTTTCAAAATTTTTTATATCTAGCAAAATAGATTCATTATTTTTTTAAAATTAGATAGTCGAATTTGTAATTAACAATCTTAAATATTTTGATTAAATTTATTTAGTTTAAATTTGTTTTGATAAATATTTGCGATTTTACATCCATTACTTTATTAATTAAAATTATTAACCACAAATTTGTAATCAAAGATCTCAAAAACTACTGGTAAATAATTTTTATTTATTTATTTACAATTTTTTCAATAATCATCCGCCATTTTGGATCTGCCATTTTGTTTTCTTGAAATTTTGATTTGAAATCAGCGACCCAAGAAACCTATAGGTGCTAAATTTTTAGAACATTGAAGTTAATTTTCTAATTTTGGCCGCATTTTTCTGATTTTGTCTCACTGTGTGCCATCAGAAATTCGCATTTCTCCCCTGTGGAGTTGGTATTAGAGATATTAAAAATAAATCTACGGTATCTATTCCCGACCAGTAATTAAAGAGATTAAATGGGTTTTGTACCTAAACCTATCTATTTTATTAAGGAGCGGCAATCAGTTTCCTCACTTACGCTAAGTAAAAAGAGTCATTAAGCCGTCATAGGTTATCATTTGATTTTTTTCGGTTCTGTGGATTAAAATGAATATGTTTCGAATTTATGACGGTTAAATGACCTTCTTTCACAATCTTATTGTTAAAAACCAGATTTTAGTCCCTGCTCTTAATCGTTACTTTTTAGAAATGTTTTGGCGTCATTTTCAGTGATAAGAAACATTCTTCAATTGACATTATTGTAATCAGTAATATTTAGAATGACGACGTTATCTTGGAATACTGTTGCATTACTTCTTTTCTTCTTTTGATGTATCGGGATTTATTTCAATGATAAAATAAACATTATCTAACTATTCTAATAATATTCTGGGTTATTTCCGTAGTTATTATTCCAGTTATGATTACTATAAGTTAAGGATTTTAATTCAAAAAGCTTATAAAATGAGGGTTATTTAATTTTTTTGCTTAATTCTTTCATGTAAAATACAAGATTCTTTTTTTTTCTTCCTTCATTTTTCTAACAGTTTGATGAATGAAGGAAATCCCGAGTAACAGCTCAAAAGTTATTTAGAACGATTTTTTCCCCAGCCTCTAAACAATTATAAGTAAGATTTAATAGTTTCCCGTACGAAAAAAAAACGTGAAAAACGATATGCTTATAGGAATTTTGTGGTTAAATTATTTTATTCTTTTGTACAAATAAATTATTTTTATTAAAGACGAACATTAGGGACAGATTCTTAATTTTTTTTTTGTTTTTGTTTTTTTTGCATGATTTGATAGTAGAGAATAATTTTTCGTAAAATAAAGGAACTCATTAGTGAGAAATTTCACTGCCAAGGGTCACAGTGAGCCAAAAAGGAAAGATATCTTTGTAAATAACTGTTATTCTTAATGATCGAATTTTCACTGAGATCCCAATATTAATGTTTCAGGAAGGTGAACTCAAATATGCCAATTAATTAGTGCTAAAAGAAATTGTGTACAAAACTTATATTCTCTGAATAAAAATACGCATTTTTTTTCCCCGACGAATTCAGATTTTTAACCTTTAAGGGTTAATTTTTTACCCGCGAAGGGTAGAAGAGTATCCGCATTTTGAAAAATATCTGGATCTAATAAATTAGACAAGAAAGCAGTCCCTTAAGAAGTCGCCATACAGCGGGAGAAACTTTTCATCGCATATTCTATTTCACCTGAATTTTTATAACCGTCGTTGAACAGTCGACCCAATTTTGGGTTCACGATTACTTATGTTAAACTCCGTAGTTTTGTAAATTTTGAACCCAATCCAGAAGACGAGGGAACTCCTTGATCGAATATTGAGAGAAATTTGCCTTCGTGGAGGACTTTTTGATGGAGCTAACCCGCTTTTGTGTCACATGGGGAGAAAAATCACGAAAACCTCCTATGGTTAGCCTGACGGCAAGGGGACTCTATCCCATGATCCGTCTACCACTGAGGATATTTCACGTCAGCACTGTGGTCGGTGCAAGCCGGATGCGGAATTCGCATCGACCGGGATTCGATCTCGGTTCACCTCATTGGAAGGCGAACGCTCTATCCCCTGAGCCATCGTGGCTCCGGACGTTCTATTTAAAGAAATCACATATCCAATTTCGAAGAAAAAAGTAATGTGTCTTTAAAGATTATCTGGTTTCTAAGCTTTTGGAAACTTCAAACGCTAGGTGCTGAAAAAAAAATAGAATACGAAGTTTCTACACCTTAGGTACTTTATTTTCGTCGCACTAGAGCTGCACAATGAGCTATTGGCGACGGTCTGGGAAGCATCCCAAAGGATGATCCGAAGACATGCTATCGCAATTTTGATTCTTCATAGGATGTTACATCACAGAATTGAAAAGTTAACTCATTTCTACTTAATTTGTATCTTAAAAAAATATTTCTGTAATTTTTATTTTTCATTTAAAGGAAATCAATGCCTTAAAATTGCTATTTTTTTTTCAATTTTAAATATTTACTTTAATAATGTAAATTTAATTATTTATTCATTAATTAAAATTAGGAATTAACTGAAATAATTAATTTAGATGGCGATAAAGAAGACTCTACTCCCTGTCCTGAGATTGGAAAACTTATTTACTTTCTCTTTGCTCCTACATTAGTCTACAGAGATAACTATCCACGGTAAGACACACTCATTCTTTTAAATGTGCATAATGTTCTAATGTACTAGATAAAAATAACATGCAGAAAATCTGTAGAGGAAAAAAAAACATTTTTGAAGTTATTTTAATAAAGGAAAGCAGAAAAAGTCAGCACCTTTTCTTCAGTTTAATCTACAGAAAATATTTTTCTTTAAATATTCCGCAGACTTTTTGAAGACAGAAAAAATCTGTACTTTTTTTTAAAAAATTTTATCTGTATAAAAACTACAACAAAATTTTGACATTTTTTTCCCCGAAAGTTCTGTAAAACTTTTTAAGATAACGAAAAATTCTTCATTTTGTCCCCAATTTAATTTGCAGTTAAGATTTGTGCATCAATTAACTCAATCAACAATTTGAAGAATACATTGCTGCAATTTCATGCTTTACAAGTCTGTAATATTATTTATGTGTAACGCATAATAATTAAGATACAAACCTTAATAGTACAGTTTTATTTTAGAAATTATGTTAAGCATTAAGCATATTTCCATAACGTTTTTATAAAAGAGCTCCTTAGGACTATTAGTAATCATGTTGCCAACTATTCACCAATTGTTATTTAAAGAAGCTTAACCAGAGTTAAAATTTATATATGTACTTGGTCTCTTAGTAGCAACGAAAATTGTACTTTGAAACAACCTATAACTCCTTCCAACCCACTATACTGTACATTCTAAGGTAAGCATAGTCTTTGACTTCGATTATGCATGTGTTGTTATAAACGCTTACTTTCTCTCTCTAACTATATTTATTATCTGATTAGTTCGTCATGATTTTTATTTCTATGCGAGCTAAAAGCAGAGTTTCTTTTTTGCATAACTTTCAGATATCAGCTCATACCCTTCCAAAATATTCTTGAATTATTCTATGAGAATATGGGTGATGAGCAAAATCACAGTGGCTTAGAAGTATTTCTTCTTATTGCTCCTTAGATTACATAATACTGTTAATTTTGGGCACCGTAAAGCCGATTTTTGCTTTTGTGCCATTAAACTTTACTCGCATTCAGATGGTAGCAAGTATGGGGAAGTGAGTATATAATAGAGTGTGTCATATAATTGTGGTGCCACTATTGGATCTGAGAGAATATTAAATATATATTAAATAAGTTTTATTATAATATTAAATTTCAAATGTCCACTGTATTCACCCTATTTTAACCTTTGATCAACTTTAACTGGTATTCAAAAGAAAGAAATTGTGTCTTTGTACAATAAAGTGGCTATTCGCTTCCTGGGCTGAACTTTTACAGCTCCACTTGGTGGATAACTGCGGAATAAACAATCCTACCTAGAAAATGTTATATGATAAGCGAATTTTGTTTATAAGTATTGTGTAATAATGGTTTGTTCTGATTTTTATTTTAACTTCTTTTTTGCAGAACTTCTAAAATTCGCTGGAGTTACGTGTCCTGGAATTTCTTGCAAGTGTTTTGCTGTATTATAGGTGCTTACATTCCATGCACTTATTTCATAGTAGACACTTTCAACAAAACTGGAATCGAATCCATGCCACTCGTCAAGTTTATTGGAACGTTAGCTACATCCATCTTCGCCGGAGGAATCCTCATGTTTTTAGTCTTTTATGGGATGTTTCATTGTTGGTTGAATGCATTTGCAGAAATGTTGCGTTTTGGAGATCGTATGTTTTACGACGTAAGTATCAACTTTGATCCTTGTTATATTTCAATACTTTTTTTTTTTATTGAGTCGCGTCAGTGAAATAGAGCAGTCAAAATTTTTTTCTATTTTCTGACGAGCTATAGCTCTCAAATCTTGATTGGAGTTCTGTACCTCATAACAATGCTAGTTTTAACCTGTCCGCTATAATCAGAAATTGTTGTTAGTCGAAATTTTAAACCTTTTCCAAATACTTGCAGTGTCTAAATTTCAACTGGAGCTTGGTTATATATTACAATTGTTTTCAAAATTTATTTTCTTTTTATTGCCATTAAAATGTTCAGTTTTTGTCTAATTTGTACAAATTTCCTAGCGCAAAACTTTTAAAACAAGAAAATAATAAAATAAGTGTTTTAAAACATTTTTTTCGAGTGAATTTAAATGTGGAAAATAATTATATTTTTGTCAACCTTAAACGAAGAGCGTTGGGACGCATTAATTAGCTATTAAAATTTTATTTCATTATTGTAATGTAATTTTACTAATTGTGCTATTTTATAATAACATTATCTACTCAATTTTACATTAATTATGCTTTGTTACATCTTTAGTTTGAAAAAACTTGAATGAGAAATAGGATGTAATAATTAATAAAAATAAAAAGGAATGGAAGTTAATCTTTCATTCTAATTAAACTAACAAGAATGTAACTATTAATAATTAAAATGCAATTTATAACTATGAAATAAGGATTTTATCAGTTAAGGAGTTAATCAGTCAGTAGGGTAGCAGGAATTTAATTAGTTAATGAGTTAATCAGTAGGTAGGGTAATAAGAATTTAATCAGTCAATGAGTTAATCAATCAGTGGGGTAATGAGAACTTTATCAGTCAATGAGTTCATAAGTCAGTATGAAACTAAGAATTTCATCTGTTAATGAGTTAATCAGTCAGTAGGGTAATAAGAAATTAATCAGTTAAAAAAAAAAAGATATAAATATTTTCTCGAAACGTGGCATTATCTGGGTGCCCTTACATACGGTCCCCTGCTAATAAAAAGAAAACTTTTTGTTAAAAATATTAATATCATGGTTAATTTCAAAGATATGATTGCAGGTTTTTTGGCATATCATGAACATCTTTTAGACTGTCACGTCTTTTTCGTTGTGTCCCATATGAAAATTTTAATACTAAAACTTTTTAAAAATTAGTACTATATTCGAAAAGATTAAAATGAACGCTTTCATATCTTAAAACGATGGTTGCAAAAGTTGAAATAATTTTAACAGACCGCATAAAAGTGTTTTTTAAAATGAGAATAAGAGCTAAGCAGGCAGTGTTTCATCAGGCAGAGGCCTTTCGTAGGTAAGTCATAAAAGTCCTTGACCAATTTTAGAGAGTGCAATCGAAACCGATTGTGAGACACGACCACATGATGGGGGAATACCTTCCGGTGCAGTTGCACTCACCGACCTTGAAACAAATGCCAGAAATGAAGTTTTATCTCCTTCTTTGGCGAAACATGAAAAAGGTCATTGCCCTAACAATAAATATTTCATCGCTTATTACTGAACCTTAGAAAAAATATTTTTTTTTCCTGAGGTAAAGTTCAGAAAATAGAAAGTTTAATTTATTTTTGCTTAAATTCCGGTATGCATTTAAATATACAATTACATTGTGTCTAAGTTAAAATTTCGGGAGTTGAAAAAAAAAAAAAACGTAAAATTAAAAAAATACATTTAATAAGTAAATAAAAAAAATTCATTTAATTAAATTTAAAGATGTAATATGAAACTGTTGATTAACCTTCAAAAGTTAGAAAAAAAAATTATAGTAAATTTTTGATGGGTGAAAATTTGTCACTTTATTTGTTAATTTCACATTTATTTATATTTTTAATATCCTTGTCTGGATGTGAAGTAAAAAAAAAATGTGCACATTAAGAGCCTCATTAATATTTAAACTAGAAAAAAAACGTAATCGAAATCTACCTAATCATTGCGAAGAATGGCAGAAATGAAGACGTCAAAGCCTGTTTGATTGTCTGAAAAAGGAGAGAGGAGTTGTAAGGCGATTATGAGAAATACCTTCAAATTCAGAGAAATTAGTAATTATGGGAAAATAGTAGGAAACTAATAAGTTATGAAATATATGAGGAAAGATTGATAAAATTCCAGACTATATATTTTAAAGTTGGATGTTTAATATCGTCCAGCACTATAATGATCAATAATTCATCTTTACATATTCATTGACTGAATTCCTTTAGTTTCATCTGATTTTGATGATTTTATTTTCACGTTTGGTTAATTTTATTAATCTTTTATTGGGCCATATTTTTTAGCAATGCTATATTAGTTTATTTTTTGGGGATTGAGATCGATTAACAAAAAGAAATTCATTCAGCAGATTGTCTAAAATTATTTTGATTTTTAGGAGCAGTTTTTTTATTTATTTATTATTATTATTTGTTTTGTTAGAACGGTGGGTGGTATACTTAAAATTTTACATTAAAAAACCGGCTATGTGTTCTTATAAATCGCCGAGTAAATAAAATATTGTTACAAAATGAGCAACGATCAAATAAGCAAATAAAAATAGCTTCTCCGCGTCGGTCTCTCTCCTTGATCCCACACAAACCTTTACTGTTATTCCCATTGATGTAAACAAAGTGAAGCCCTTCATTGATTTTTGGAAGTTATCTGTAGATGGCCACACAAACCATAAGTAAGAAACATACTTCCCACTCCCGTAGTAAGGGTTAATTGCGAATTGTTAATAGTAAGCAAATTGTTAATGCTTAAAGTTAAAAATAATTAATTAAAAAGTGTTTTTTAGAATACAGTTATAATTAATTAGCAATCCGTTTATTCTATGTATTTGCTAATTAAATATGTTTTTTCCCCTCCAAAGGACTGGTGGAACTGCACTTCTTTTGCCAAATATTATCGTTCCTGGAATATGGTTGTGTATGACTGGCTGTACTCTTACATTTATCGAGATATGTATACAGTAAGTCCATTGATGTTCACTCATATTTTTATTTGTCTTCAAAGTCTTTTACATAAGATTTCGGTAAACAGGGGTTGGACAAAATAATGGAAACACTTCGATACTAACACATTTTTTGACATTTCACAAAAAAATGCGTTGAGAATCAATTTATAAATTTCGAGGTGTTTAGGTAGCGCAATTTCCTATACATATCAATGAAGTTTAAAACTTTTTGAGGTTTTGAGGGACAGACAATAAATTACAAACGGAAAAAAATATTTTTGAGCTCCTTATGCCAGAGAATGTACTAATAAATTTATGTCTGTTACTAATAAATTTATGTCTGTTATTAATAAATTTATGTCTGTTACTAATAATTATGCTATTAATTACAGCCCGAATGTGCTAATAAATTTATTACTAGCAATTATAGCGGAAAATTTCGTAAACCTAGCTTAAATATTTATGAAAATATGGACATTTCAATAAAAAAAAATTTATTTTTTTTTGTCTTACGTTTCTACTTTAAAGATAACATTAAAAATATTCAATAGAATGATACAAAGCTTTTCGATCGATTTAAAATTTATTACAAAATTATTGCTCCAAAATTTGAGAAAAAGTGGTTAAAAACTGCGCAAGATATGAGTCATTAAAGTAGTTCTTCTGTACTGAGCGAAAAAAAGTTTAAAAATGTTTTCTTAATTTTGCAGTGAATTGTATTTGGAAAATAATGAAAAAAAAACATATTTGAATATCTTAAAAATTTATAAAAGTTTCAAGCAATTTTCTAAGTAGTTATCTTACTTTCTAAGAGAAAATGTAAGGTGATAAGGAATGTTCCCCAAATTTCATTTTGTACTATTAAACAAGATTTATTAAAAATGGAATCGGAAAACCCCTTATCATATTTAGCCTTCTTTTAAAAAGCAAAAAAAACTGCTCAGAAAATAGCTTACAACTTTTTACATTTTTAAGATATTCATATCGTACATTTTTTTTATTAGTTGCCAATTACGATTTTTACATTTTTAAGATATTCATATCGGACATTTTTTTTATTAGTTGCCAATTACGATTCACTACAAAATTAATTGAAAAAAAAATAATTTTTTTTTTAATTTTTCAGCGCATGCGCAGTATAAAAGAACTACTTAAATTACTCAAGTTTTTAACGAATGTTTATCAAAATTTAAAGCAATAATTGTGTAAAAGTGGCCTCTCATAAATGCTACAAAAGACCAACTGCGAATTTTCCTAATTTTGCCCTAAATAATTATGGAACACTCTGGAAACATCCCCTTCTCACGCATAAATGTCTCCTACGATGATTTCTCAATTAACAGAGAAGGTAATTAATTGGTGATATTGAATAATTTTGACTATTATTTTATTGTAATTTACAGAAGTGTTTGTTGTAATAATTGTATCTCCGTCTTTTTTAGCTTCTCGGTCGAAGTAGAGTAGGGGCCATGTTAGTTGTCTTTCTCATATCAGCCATCATTCATGAATACATCTTGGCCATATGCTTCAAATTTGTCTTCCCTCTCCTCTTCATTTTGTTTTCAAGCTTCGGAGGTAGACTCACTTTTATATTAGCTATAAACTTTTTATTAATTCAAGATTATTAATTTTCGAATTTATTAGACAACTAGCAGCAGGGGAAGTAGGGCCGGAACGCACCGGTACGACGTTCCGTTACTTTTCTGTTACTAATTGGAACATCGATGTATATGTTACTGTGAATGACCAAAATGGGTGATTGTTGACATCCACCGGTGAATGTTAACAATCACATAGTCGCTTTGGTAAATCTCTGAATTATATAACAGGTCTAATTAAGTGCCACTGCCCAGTATGCTGTACATCAGGGGTGTCAAACTCAAAAGCTAACTTGGGCCAAATCAACGATGCTTAGCTTTAGGTGGGCCGCAAAAAAAAATTAAAAAAATCAGTGTTCATAGAAACAAATATTTTTATTTTGAATAGTACATTATTGTTTGATATTTGACATCTCTTCTCTGCTACTATCTTTCCTATTTCAGGAGAAATTTTATTTGCTGAGACTACTTTCAAAGTTGACCCAACGTGAGCGTTATTAATACGGTTTCGGACAGGAGATTTATTTCTATTTATAACAGAAAATAATTGCTCGTACTTATAAGTACTTCTAAACATGGAAATAATTTCATATGCGAATTTTCGAGTATTTTCAAACCTAGCAGGTAAATATTTGCAAAATTCAGGCGCACTCACTTCAATGAATTTTGCCTTCAAATTTGAGTTGCACTGAATCTCAATCACTTCCATTTGCATATTATTGGATACTGAGTCTATATGTATTGAGAAAATCGAAGAAAGCAAACAAAATTTGTCTTCCAAAGAATTAAAATCTTTAAACCTTGTTTCAAATTCTGTTCTAAGATTTGAAATTTTCTCTGCTTTTTTTTGATACGATGCAGTATCCCTGGAAGGGCAGGTGCCGCAAACCAATTAGAATTTTACATTTTCGAGCTCACAATTTGAAATGATCCGTATAGTTTATAAATAAAGTATATTATAATTTTATATTCTAGTTTCCTTTCTAATTGACACTTCTATTTTATTTTTACTTTGCATCGAATATATTGACTGGGCCGCAAAAATGTTCATCTCGGGTCGCGGGCCACGAGTTTGACACCCCATCAATGTTTTTTTAAGGTTCAGTACCACTGCCCGGTATACATTTGTCCGATATGTCCTACATCACTGTTTTTAAGGTCAAGTGTCACTGCCCAGTATGCATTTAATCGGTACTCCGAACACTGATGTCATCTCTCCTCAGCAGATATTAAAATATCGAATAAATATAATGATATCAACGAATAAATTAATATCAAATTGGATATAAAACATCTCTCGGACATTCACCAAAGCGACTATCTATGTGATTGTTGACATTCTCTTGATTTGCGTCATTCACGGTGACATATACATTTCTTAGAATATTTGTCAAAAATGAAGCAAAAACAGTATATTCATTAGAGATTGTAATAAAAAAAATATTTAAGCAAGGAAGAAAGAACTTGATCAAAAATCTAATGGGTACTGAAAAAAAAAAGTTTTTTTTTTCAATAATGTTTCATTATGATTCCTAAGTGTGTTTTTAATAATCGCTCTTCCTTGTTTCCTCGGGTAATCTAACAGAATTTGATGTTTTCAGGCCCGCCTCTTCAGTGGTCATTCATAGAATTTCGATCACATTTAGAAATCTGCTTACTTTATATATTAATTTAAAACCCTAAATGGAATGCAAATTTATTTTACATAATTGTTAACAGGAATTCTAAAAGTACAAATTAAGGCCAATCATCGTGAGTATTTGATTTTGTGAAAATGTCCGAATTCATATTTTAATTATAGAATTGAATCATTTTCTAGAATTATACTCCGTATTTGATAGAAAACAAAACATGCTAACAAAGTTAAATTTCTGTTTCGTCTATTTTCATCTGGTGAACTGCGTTTGTGGGAGAAAAAAATTTAACACAATAACTCTAGCGACGAGTCGAAATTAAAATAATTTAATTTCTAAAAGTTATATATTTCTTTTGCTTTATGAAAACATTTAAAAATAATAGATTGTATTAAAATAATTCAATTAGTCCGAAAACAGAAAGTACTCAGCATTTTAAAAAAGATATCTTTATTTTTTATAGCTTTATTTTTATCGTAAAGGAAAACAATGAATCGTTTTTAGATATATATTAAAAAAAATATTTCTAATGAACAAATATTGCTCTCCAAAAACATGATTGTTTGTCTCAAACAGAGGTTATTAAAAGTTTGTATTATAAATCTATGGTGGGTAGATGCATTTTTATTAGTTTTTAATTTTCATGAAAACATTTATAGTTGTTAGAAAATGTTACAAAAAATTAAATTTTAATGATTTAATCTAATAAGTAAAAACAATCATTTTCATTACAAAATTAACAATATTTTTATTAAAACTGTTTATTTTACTCAAAAAAAAAAGAATCTTATAAAGCCAATTATAATCCAAGAAAATTTCAATCAGTAAGTAGGAAGATGTGTTTAAATGTTTGTAACTTTTAGAAATTCAATAGAAAAAAAAATTTCGGGTAGAAAAAAAAAATTCATATTAAAATATAAAATTATGTATCAATCTTCGAATGCATAATTTTATATATTTTATGTTTGGTATTTTAGAGAATCTCTTTAAGATTCTTGAGCCCATCTCTATTTCTAATAAATAGATGTATGATATTTTAATCGAAACATCTTGCATTTCTTTTTGAAAGGATTAAACTAATTTCTCCTTTTTTTCCAGTGATTTTGGTATTCATTACTCGTCGAAGAACATCCCCTTTTTGGAACGTATTTCTGTGGATTGGTATGTTTCAAGGTTGGGGTCTCTTAACCGTATTTTACAGTTTAGAATGGTATGCCAGAATCAATTGCCCAAGAACTTTGGTAAGATACTCACTGATTTTACTTTAAAAATGATTGTGTATCCTTTCCGTAAAAAAAAAGAATTAAAAACAGCCATATTTTACCAGTTTTTAGCTGAAAACATATAAAATTTATATTTGAAAGACAGATCATTTGTGAAGCTTGTCAAAAAAATTTTGTAAGCTATATAACTCATCTCCAAAGCAAAGAAAACTCACAAATTACGAGACTAACAACGATCTGGAAAAAAACAGTATTTGTAAGGGAAAAAAAACGTTCCATTAGGCAATATATATCGTCCTCAGTGCTGTGAAAATTCTCCAACAACGAGACTGTGCGCAGTTCATAATACGTACTATCGTTTTATTTTATTCTTTTAATTAATTAATTAATTATTTTTAGTATACGCCGTGATTGCTCAAAAAACAAGGCGCTAGTTTCCCAATAAGACGATCCAGGTCCAAATTCCTGTGATTTCTGGTCAATTCATATACTGCTCATGGCATCAGAAGGTTTCGTGTTTTTTTTCTTGTTTTTTTTCACTGGAACACAAATGCTGGTTAGTTTCACTGAAAACGTGAAGACGAGTTTGTCCGAATACTTGATGTTGAGAAACACTTGTTTTCTGGGTACAAAATTATGATTTATAGCCGCAAATCTAATATGGATCGGCTGTTTAAATCAAAAATCTCTTAGGTATAAATGTGCCCAACTGCGTAATCGACTACGGCTTTATTTTGAGCATCGTTTTTAACATTATTGTTCAAGTACAGATTTAATTTGTTGAAAATAATTTTAAGCTTTTAATATTTCAGGATTCGTGGTTTGATTACGTCTTTCCTCGTTCCTTCACTTGCAACGTTATCACGTGGCCTGCGTGAAAGAAATGATTTCAGATGGCGGCTACAACAATAAAACTGTTGCGAATCTAGAAAAAGTATTCCGAAAATGGTACTTCGAAATGGTTGAAGTTGCTTTTACTGAATTATTTCAGGATGTGGGTTAAAGACTCTTTGCCGATTTAAAGTATTTCATTTATCATTTTCATCAACCAAAAAGAAAAGGTATCCAAGATTCTTTGGAATATGTCAGTTTTTGAATGGTCATCAAAAGACTATTTTCGTACTTTTATTATTTAGAATGACTTCATCTGTATTTTTCAAAGGATTTAAATGTTTATACTATATGTGATTTTGTTTTTACAAACTAAAAAGTAAATCTGGTGCCTCAATTGTTTCTATTTTGTAGTAGTTCGTAAATACACAATTATTGTTAAATTTTATAATGTATCTCTTTAACAAAGATTTATAAATTGGTACTTGTAAATTTAAAATTAAATGGTTTTCACAAAGTAATAAATAAATCTAATGTCTTTACTTTTTTTATTTTATAATAATTTTCAGATGTGTACTATCAGTCATGTGTACTATTGTGTAAACTTGTCATGTCAACCGTCTTCTTTCTCCCCTTTGTGTCAATTTATAAAATATTTACATAATATTAATTTTAAAATGTATAGACTTTTACAAAATATTAAAATTTTGTGTCTTTTTTTTATTCGGACTTAGCTTAAGTTTTCAATTATTTTCGAGTTTAACATTTTATTAAAGATTTGTTAGTTGATCTTTTTCTAACTTCATATCGATTAAGTAATACTAATGAGTAATACAAAGTCATAAGTAAACTTTATATTTCATAAGAGCTGTTAAGGGAGAAGGATTTCTTATTTTTGCTAACAAGATCTACAATTCTAAAATGCTGACATAATATTTGAACAGTCATTTATTGAAAGTAGTTTTCAACAATAGGTTCTGATAAATAGTTTTATAAACTTGAGTGTTCAGGAAATGTTCCTTATGTCTTTATTTTAAATTAATAATTAGTACTGTTTGTGTTCTTACTGTCAAATATGTTTTTTGAGCTTTTTATTATTTTATAGACTTGTAAATAAGATGTGTTCCTTCTTTCTTTTCTTAAATGTCAACTCATAAATTATTAGACAACATTTATTAAACCATTCATGATTTTTGTTGTTGTTGCAGACTATAGAAGAAAGGATCCCACACAAATCTCACATTCTCTGTCAAACTTTTTGAAAATTTAATTTGTTGCAGTTCAAACCATTCTGATCAAAAGTTCTTATAGACTTGAAAAGCCCAAAAATGGATAGTTTCCCAGATGCGAAACTTCAAACATACAGTAAACGGTCACCGTGGTTTTAAGTGCTAGATTGTGAGAGTGTTGTGCTATTTTAGGATATGCTCGTTACAGAGATAACATCGAGTATCCGTTTACGAAATTAAAAGAATGTATCTGAGATGCAGCAATCCCCAACAAAATATAAATAATATTCAAATAATTAATAAATACTTATGTTTATGCGTAACTATCAATTATTGTATACATCCAAGTATCTTTTCATTTAAACAATCAGCCCTTGTAAGGGTTATAACATGCGCAAAATCTGATCCGTCATCCGTATCTTGGTACACATTAGTTAATGCTTATTAGTTTATACTTATGTCAGTATTAGAGAATTGAGAATTACTATTTATCTTTGAAGCTTCGTAACTTGGAAACTATGAATTTTTGGACTTCGTGTCAATGAGAACTTTTAATCAGAATGTTTGAAACTACAACATATTACGTTTTCAGCTAATTTAACAAAGAATTTATTTCCATAAGATTTGTGCGGGTAATCTTTCTAAAAATCAAACAATATTTTTTATTTAATATATTTGTATTTAAATATGATTTCACGAGATCTTGTATTCTTGAGATTTTTTTTATTGCCTTCCATTTTATTTTAATTAAAAAAAATTTTTTTATTTGTTACATATTGAGGTGAGTAATTTTAGTAACTTGATTTATGCTATTTTGATGCTATTATATATTTATTCAGTGGTGTTCATAGTGTTCAAGTTTGTCATTTTATAATTTTGTGTGAAGATGTTTTTCCTATTTTTATTTGATTTATAAAAAAGTAAAAAAAACTTAGTAATTTACAAAATAGTAAACAAGTGTAACACTTTTAATGCCTATTTTTTCAATAGTATACTATTTTAATTTTCTAATATTTCTTACTTTAATTTGTGTTAATGTTTTCCATTAAGCCAGTTATTTATTTTCTATTGTTGTTTTAATTTTCCGTTTCTGTTTATCAATTTCTATTTTTTTTAATATACTATCTACTTTTGATATGAATTTTTTGTTTTCCTACTGTTTAATACAAGTTATACATTAAAAAAAAATCTTGTAAAACTTTTTTGAGAAAAATAATAAGTATAATTATATTTGAAAAATTTAACCTTAAAAGTTATTTTTTGGGCAAATTTTTACATTATTTATATCAAAAATACACTTATTTTTTTATATGCGATCATTAAAACAAAAAATGTTATACTTATTGTGTCATCTGTGTTGTAATTTTATTAAACATTATTTATTAATGGGACTGATCCTATTTTTTGTATCGATATATATTGTGATAAATATTTTTTTTTTAAAATATATTGTACATTATTTGAATTTTGTCTTATTTTTGAATGGCATAAATACATTATATACCAAAAATAAAAATTAATTTTGAACAGAATGTTCGTATTTTACAGGCTGTTTCATACTGCTTCAAACGGAATTTGTTACCAATACAGATATTGATATATATTCTGGTCATAAAAGAAAACTTTTATGATGCAGAGAAAGTTAAAAAAAGAGAAAGTTAGAAACAACGTTTTTCGCGTTGCATAATATGATACATAAATTTTTTTGCAAAAATATATTTTATGATAAATATTTAAGACAATATCATTTTTATATGCCATCAACTCACCCATAATAATGTATCAATACACCATTAATAACAATAATGGAATTAGACAGAGATTATACAGGAAGCTTGAATATACCGCAGATCGGAACTTCTACCTTTGCCAAAAATAATAAAACAAACAAAAATTTGATACCACGTTTTTGAAACAGACTGATAAGGAGAAAATAATTTTTTTTCTTCAACTACGACTTTTGATCAAAATGTTTAGCCATTCTTGAAGCAGAGGAAGAGCAACTTAAGTAAAATTCGAATTAAGAGATTTCGCATTTTGCCTCCCCCCCCCCTCCTAGAGCATTTGTTGCTCATGTATCTTAATTGTAGGCTTAAAAAGAGTTTTTTTTTTATAGTGAAAAGCACAATTTCTATGCAACTGTTGACTTTCACCGGTGAATGTTGACAGTCAAATTAGTCGGTTTGGTGAATGTCTGAAATATTTATTACATCCGATTTAATATAAATTTATTCGTGGATATAATTACATTTATTCGATATTTTAATACTTACTGACGATAGATTAGAACAAACATCAGTGTTTGGAGTATCTGGTAAATATATACCGGGCAATGGCACTTGACCTTAAGAAAACATCAGTGTAGGATATACCGGGCAAATGTTTACCGGGCAATGGCACTTAACCAGACCTAGTATGACTAGACCTTTGGTAAATGTCCGAAATATATACTAGGTCTTGTGCAACTTTTGCTATAGCTTAAATATTAAAAAAAATTAAAGCGTTTGAATCAATTATAAACTGATAACGAAATTATTGCTTTAAAATTAAGAAAATAATAATAAAAACTGCGCCAGATAAGAGCATTTGAAGTAGTTGCTTTATACAGAGCATATGAGGAAAAAAAATTTTAAAAAAATTATCCAGATGCATCTAAAAGTGGATGAATATCCTAAGACACCGTCGCAAAATCACGTGGTAGGATCCAGTTTTTTCTCACTCATTTCCATATTGTTTTGATTGTCGTCATTATAAAAGTGGTAAAGTTATTGTTTTTCTATAAATATTTTTGTATCCCTAATTTAAAGTTATTTTCCTGTACTGCTATTATTACGATTTTCATTCAAAAGTTTTAAACTACGAGAATTGTTTTTTTTAGTTATTATTATAATGTAATTCTACTCTACATTTTAAGATAAAGTTATTTAGAAAGGTGGTTTTATCTTATTAGCCGTTTTACAATTATTATTTTTGTGCCAATAACGTTAATATACTGTTATAAATTACAGTTAAAGATATCTGTTAAATGATTTAGAACTTAACGATAAACTTCATGCACAATGAGATGCAAGCGAAATAAGTATTTAATATATCCGCCCTTTTGGTAAGCGAAAACATTAAATGACGGTTGTGAAATCATCCAATTTGTTTGAATAATATAATGTTATAACACAATAAATGTTATTTTAAAAAATGATTACTTAGAAAAATTACTTCTGTTCTAATCTAAACATTTATAATACTAATAGATAATAATATTTGGAAGTAGGAAGTGAAGGCACAAGCGTAAGCAAACAGAATTCCCTTAGAACATACATGTTTGGTGAGTAATTTAGTAAAAAAACTGTTTTCTACCAAAAGAAACAAAGGCCAAAACAACCCAGATGATTGCGAAGCTATCATCGTGGTTAGTGAGCGGGTATGAACAGGGGCCTAGTTCCCTAGGGATCTAAATTAAAACACTCGGTTATTCTAACTTTTGTAAGTTTTCAAAGATAGATTTGGAAGCAAAAAAATATCAATCTCTACATTTAAATCACTGATTTTTGGAATTTTTGGTAAGGTAGTTGACCGATAAGTCATAAAGTAATAAAACATTCTAATTTTTGAGAAATTTTTTTATTAAATATTATTTTTTTGTCTTAGTTTCAGGTTCTTTATACAGCCTTATGTAAAATCTAATTGCTTTAATACTATAGTCTATATCATAAAATGCTTTTATATCTGATGTTGTTGTTGTAGTTCATATCGGTCGCACTAGAGCTGCACAATGGGCTATTGGCGACGGTCTGGGAAACATCCCTGAGGATGATCCGAAGAAATACCATCACAATTTTGATCCTCTGCAGAGGGGATGGCTCCCCTGCTTTGGTAGCCCGACGNTCAAAATGTTTAGCCATTCTTGAAGCAGAAGAAGAGCAACTTAAGTAAAATTCGAATTTTGCCTCCCCCCCCCCCTCCTAGGGCATTTGTTGCTCATGTATTCTAATTGTAGGCTTAAAAAGAGTTTTTTTTTAATAGCGAAAAGCACAATTTCTATGCAAGTAGTAAGATGAATCTATAAGTTATGCCGTGAGAAAACTCAAGAAGCTTGTAAGTACCTGTTTAGAAACAGTGCTATAAACAGTTTTATCTAAAAATAAATGTGCTTAACAGTATATTGCAACAAGCCTTTCAATTTGATTAATTGATTTGTGATGTCTTTTTATTCGATACAAGTTGATCTTTAATATATAGCGTAATGTGTAACAAAATAAATATCGTTAAAGGTATCTTACTACATATAAAAATCTAATGATGGTGTCGCTATTTTCCATTGTTGACCGTGCATTTCTATTGGTCGGAAAAGGTTCCTTGGGGGTATTCATCCACTTTTAATATCTTCCTTACCTGTACTATGCATGATTCTTTATCGCCTTACGACATCATCGCCAACAAAACCAATTATTTTTATTTTTTGAAATGCCGGATGCTATTTAGGCAAAGTATGAAATAATCGTCCTGATGAAGTTATTATGTAAATGATGTGCATGTTACTGTGAATGACCGAAATCGGTGGTTGTTGACTTTCACCGGTGAATGTTGACAATCAAATTAGTCGCTTTGGTGAATGTCTGAAATATTTATTACATCCGATTTGATATTAATTTATTCCTGGATATAATTACATTTATTCGATATTCCAATACTTACTGACGATAGATTAAAAGAAACATCAGTGTTAGGAGTATCGGCCAAATGTATACCGGGCAATGGCACTTGACCTTAAAAAGCATCAGTGTAGGATATACGGGGCAGTGGCACTTGACCTTAAAAAACATTAGTGTAGGGTATACTGGGCAGTGGCACTGAACCTTAAAAAAACAGTGTAGGATATACCGGGCAGTGGCATTTGACCTTAAAAAAACATCAGTGTAGGGTATACCGGGCAGTGGCACTGAACCTTAAAAAAACATCAGTGTAGGGCATGGGTCGCCAAACTTTTTTGATCATCGACCCCTCTACAATTTTTCGAAATCTCCATCGACCCCCATGAAAGTAATTTTCTGTTCATTAAAATAACACTATTAGATACTGTGTTTGTACATTTATTTTATGATTTTAGACATTTATTCAAGTAGTAGTACATTGTGTAACAATAGTTTTATGAAAAATATATTAATGTTGAAATTTAAATACCTTAATATTTATTAAATTATAAGTAAGTAGAAATAATAAGTAAAGTCACTACAGATTTATTGCTTCTTAATCAATGAGAGGGGTGTGTCTGGTATTTTTTTGCAAGGTTCGCTACATTGGGTTCAAAATTGGTCAATTTTAATCTTAAATCCCCTCAAAACTCCACATTTAATTTATTTTCGTACTTAGTTAAAATTGAATTTACGTGACTGAAACCGGCTTCAACCATATAGGAACTTGGAAATGGTTGAGCTATTTCGTAAAGTTTTACATATTTTTGCATTATATTTATATTTGTCCAAAATTTTCTTATTGTTAAATTTTTAAAAAGCGTCTTTGCTTCAAGATCCGATAATAATTCAGCAAGCTCATCTTGCAGTTTTGTCTCGGGCTGAACTAATCCATATTATTAATGCTTACCTTCTTTTTTACATGTATTGATAATTAAAATTGATATATAAACTAAACGAATGGTTTTATCAAAACAATAACTAATTATCAAAAACTGTGAAAGTTTTAATAATGGCACTGCAAATATTCAACACTGTTCTCAGTTTGCAAAAATAGCTGAAACTGCATATGATATTTGCGTTTTTAACATCAATACTCGTCACATCTGACATTTGGACAAGCGCGCATAGGCATATGACTTATAAACCAGCTTGCTTCACCCGAATAAATATATGTTTATTAATTTTTGTTTTATAAAGAAACTAATATTAAGTCAATTACAGAAAAATTCACAAATTATACATACAACAGTTCTTAATACGCAAATCACACAAATTACGTATGCGTAATTTGCGTATTAAGAGCTGTTTTTTCTTCGACCCCCAATCGACACTTCCGATTCGAATCGACCCCCTGTCTCAGATCGACCCCCGCTTTTGCTGAATAGACCCCTGGGGGTCTATATAGACTACTTTGGCGACCTCTGGTGTAGGGTATACCGGGCAAATGTATACCGGGCAGTGGCACTGAACCTTGAAAAAACATCAGTGTAGGGTATACCGGGCAATGGCACTTGACCTTAAAAAACATCAGTGTAGGATATACCGGGCAAATGTTTACCGAGCAATGGCACTTAACCGGACCTAGTATGACTAGACCTTTGGTAAATGTCCGAAATATATACTAGGTCTAGTGCCACTTTTGCCATAGCTTAAACATTTAAAAAAAATGAAACAAAGCGTTTGAATCAATTTGAAACTGATAGCAAAATTATTTCTTTAAAATTAAAAAAAATAACAATAAAAACTGCGCCAGATAAGAGTAATTGAAGTAGTTGCTTTATACAGCGCATGTGCGGAAAAATATTTTTAAAAAAATTATCCAGGTGCATCTAAAAGTGGATGAATATCCTAAGACAGTCAGAATCTCACGTGGTAGGATCCAGTTTTTCCTCATTCATTTCCATATTGTTTTGATTGTCGTCATTATAAAAGTGATAAAGGTATTGTTTTTCTATAAATATTTTTGTATCCCTAATTTAAAGTTATTTTCCCGTACTGCTATTTTTAAGATTTTAATTCAAGAGTTTTAAACTGCGAGAATTGTTTTTTTTTTAAAATTATTATTATACTGTAATTCTACTCTACATTTTAAGATAAAGTTATTTAGAAAGGTGGTTTTATCTTATTAACCGTTTTACAATAATTATTTTTGTGCAAATAACGTTAATATTGTTATAAATTACAGTTAAAGATATCTGTTAAATGATTTAGAACTTAACGATCAACTTCATGCACAATGAGATGCAATCAAAATAAGTACAGTCGAACTCGTTTATAACGAGCACAAAGGGACCGTAACATGTACTCATTAAATCCGAGTGCTCGTAATAAACGGGTCCTTAAGGCAGGCGTGCAACCAGAAGAGGGGGGGGGGATGGTAGGTCAAATTATTGAGTTTAGATAAAATTTAATTAATACTTACTTACTTTAATTAATTTAATTAAATACTTTTCTTAATTTATTGACAACTATCCCCCCCCCCAACCAGCAAAAAATTTCCAGTTGCGCTACAGTCTTAAAGGAAAGAAGCAATAAACGGAAAGAAATATAAAGGAAAAGATTCTTACCAAAACATTTATTTTTTTCATTAATCATTAATCTTCATTAATCACCTTAAATAATATTTAAAATAGTAGTTTGTTAGCTTACTTTGAAGTTTCAGTTCGCGTTTTTTTATTTTATTTCGCGCGCATTTCTTATCATTTTGAAAAAAAGATTGCAAGACAGAAACATATTGCTCGCTAAAACCGGGTCTTGCTCGTTAAAAGCGACTTTTGTTCCATAGACTTAACATTGATCCAACCAAATATTCTCGTTTCCCTCGGTAAATCCGAGTTCTCGTTAAATCCGAGCTCGTTATAAACGAGTTCGACTGTATTTAATATATCCGCCCTTTTGGTAAGCGAAAACATTAAATTACGGTTGTGAACTCATCAAATTTGTTTTGAATAATATAATGTTATAACACAATAAATGTTATTTTAAAAAATGATTACTTGGAAAAATTACTTCTGTTCTAATCTAAACATTTATAATACTATTTGGAAGTAGGAAGTGAAGGCACAAGCGTAATCAAACAGAATTCTCTAAGTACATACATGTTTAGTGAATAATTTAGTAAAAAAAACTGTTTTCTTCCAAGAATGATTGCATCGGGGTTGGTGAGCGGGTATGAACAGGTTCCCTAGGGCTCTAAATTAAAACACTCGGTTATTCTAATTTTTGTAAGTTTTCAAAGATAGATTTGGAAAGAAAAAAAAATCAATCTCTACATTTAAATCACTGATTTTTAGAATTTTTGTTAAGGTAGTTGACCTATAAATCATAAAGCAATAAAACATTCTAATTTTTGAGAAAAATTTTTACTAAATTTTATTTTTGTTATCTTAGTTTTAGGTTCTTTATACAGCCTTAAGTATAATCTAATTGCTTTAATACTAATACTATAGTCTATATCATAAAATGCTTTTATATCTGAAAAGGAGAATTTAGTAAAATGGCCTTGTTTACATTTCTTTCAATACCCTTAAAGTTTCAATGTTATTTTATGGATGGATTGCTTTGAAAGAAAACTAATATTTTACATGAAATCACTAGTCTATTAGAAGTATGAATCAATCAAGTTGAAGTTCATCTGCAACCTACATTAATTTGAAAATGGAAGTTGAAGTTTCATGATTTAATTTAAATGGAATTGTGTAACTTTAATGGGATTCATCGTAACGTTATAAACATTGAACACAATTTACACTTCATTAACTTTTAAATGGTATATTGTAACGTTATGAATTAAGAAAATATTTTCAAGAATTTCCGGTTTAAAAATTTACATTCTTTGGAAATAATTATTTTCCAGGACATGAGTCAGTCGTTAAAAAGGCTCTAAAAACTACGTATTCGAACAACTGAACTGAGAATGGTAGTTGATATCTCAACGTTTGACATTAAGAAAGACCATTTCGAAACTCATTTTAAAATATTCTATTTGAAAATCTACATTTTTCAGATAGCAATATTTTCCAAGAGCTTCATTTTTTTTAAAAGGGTGCTTTTTGAAGTTTACTTCTTAATTCATTTGAAAAATTCCAGTCGAAATCTCAAATTTATGTTGAAATAAGTATAGCATTAGTGAATATTAAAGTATACACTTTTGCCGTTCATTTAACAAAATCTTTTAATGACGTGTATTATATATGAAGAAATAGAGGAAACAACATGCAACACTCTTCAAAGGCTTTTATTAAAATTTTCACATAAGTAGATTTCATAAAGTTAAGGAATAGCAGAGTTTAGGGTGTTTATTGCAAATATAATTTTAACAATGTTATTTTTCAATTTAAAAAAAAACCAAAGCAATTCTTGGAATGCATGTTTAAATAAATAACAGTTCAAGACATTATCTCTTTTCAAACAGTATGTCTCCTTTAAGACCTGACGCAGTCTGGAAAAAAAAGAAAAAGAAACATTGAAAATTACAGCTTTTACAGTAAGTAAGTCATTTACAAAAAAAATTCATTTCAAATACAGAGTATCTGGAGAGCCAGTGCAACATTTCACTCTCAGAAGCGGAAATACTTTTTTGAGAGGATACTTTTAGGAGGACCCTATAAATGAGAAACATTTCCTGGAAAATTCTGTTTCGTTTACTTAAGGGACACTGGATGTTCAAAATACAAAAGCGCAATTCTTATTCTATGATTTATAAATTGTAACAGAATATCGGTAGCATTACCCCTTCTCTCTCGCTCCCGTCAAAATCACGGGGGGAGTTTTCGTCTCCTATTTCTCGTGACCGTGATATTTCCAGTGTAGAGCGTTCAAAAGTAATGCACCATAAGGTTTTAAATGTATCCATTTCTTGTTCCCGGAATAATTTTACACACAAACTGGCTGTAGCAGACTATTTTTAATGTAACTGGAGTTAGTTTAAATTAAACTAGTTGTCAGCACTATCCAATTCTGATACGTATTTCGCACTCTTAGCTACTCATGCTCTTTGTGAATTTACGTGCTTTGTGTTCTGTGATAAAATATTTAATATTGTGTACATTATGGAGCTTCAAATTTCAATCTAAAAAAATTTCCAAAAGTCAAAAATGAATACATATATTATACAGTGCGCCAAAAAAAAAAAAACTGACCACCCTGAATCACTTTTAATCTAATGATTGAATCTTCACGTTCTAGGACTCCATCGTAATGGTTTGAAGGGATGACCTAAAATATTCTAATTAACACTAGAAAGACGGAAAATTAAATATATACCTATATTGCCCAAAAGCAGTCAAAATGACTGGATTGTGAATGCGTAAATAAATTTGTTTAAAATTAATTTTTAACATTTTTTATATTATTTACAGTTCTGTAATAAGTGATTAGTAAATATTAACAATAAAGAAAAATTATGTGTTGTACAAAAAGTCACAAAATTCTAAGAAATTGTGTCATTATATACACCATTAATTTTCTAATTGAAATTAAAAGCAGTCAAAATGACTTCTTTAGGCAATCTAGTGTTAATTCCAAAATATGGGGGGTAGCCGCCATCCCTACAGTTTCGTCAGGAGAGTTTTGACTCTCTAGTGTTAATTTGACTTATCTCGAAATATTCGCTTAACTCAAAAACTTTTAAAAGCGAATTGAAAAACTTTTGCACACAATTATGAAATTCATTTATCCAAAAATAAATCCATACAAAAAAATAAATCTTTGTAAATATTATTTTATTTAATAATAGTTAAAAAAAATTTAAATTGTTAGGTATACAATTTCTTTTATCGGTTGAAAGAACATAAATTTGCATGGCAGTATAAAATTTTTTTACCGAAATCGGTTGAAAAGTTCATGAGAAATTGAATTTCCGAAAAGTCAGATATTTAAAATTCGTTTTCACGAAAATTGTACACCTTAGATCTCAAATTGTTTTCGACCATTATTAAATAAAATAATATAAAATAATAAATATTTACTAAAAGTTATTTTTTGCTAGGAATTGTCTTTGAATAATCGAATACACTTAGTTGTGTGCAAAAACTTTTCAATTCGCCTCAAAAGCTCTCGATACATAGTGAAATACTCAAAAAAATAAAATTAGCGTTAAGGGATCCAAACTTTGAACCGTTCTCCTGACCAAACTATCTGAGTCACATTTCCGAAATTGCGGCTACCCCCTATATTTCAGAAATCCGAATCCGTTAAAGAAAAAAAGGTCTTGCACTGTACTTTGGTAGAGTTTTAAAATCATGTGATGTAATATGAATTAACTACCTGCACTTCAAGAAGAAGACAAACCATAACCAACCACACATGTGACCTATATCAGCGCCAGCTAATCTTTATCAGCCAAATGGCGTACTAAGTTTTTCTATATAACTTTGTTAATTAAAGTTAAATTAATTAAACACAGAGCAGTATTTTATTGCAACCATACTATATTTTTGCTTTTAGTACCTGGTAACTTCGATGCTTGATTAGTTTGTTTAGGTTCTACATGGCGTTTTACCTGTCTTTGTGTAAATATGGTGAAAGAATTGAACTCTTTGCGAAAGAATCTTTGTGAAAGTATATAGGCTTTGTTACATAAGAGAACTGGTACTTGACGGGCTTGGCTTACTCGAAATAGAATGGAAAGAACAGTCGCGAGCGTAAACAAATGCTACGTTTCAACAACCAATCAGGATAGAGATACCCACACTACGTCACTTGCAGGTATCCCATTGTCTTTAAAACAATTCTCGCATGCTATATATTTACTAAAAAATAAGAGACGTTCACATAGAATTTTCGAAACTACGATTGATGACAACACATTATTAACCTCTTGACATAGAAATGATCTTTGATTGCACTGTAAACAACAACTCGCAAGTTGACAAAGATGCCAACTGCTCCGGGCATGCCAAAATAATTATAAAAACGGTAAAAAACTGCAAACTAAATTTTGCAAATATTTGACTATTTTTGCTTGCTTTTTAAAAGGTATAACATGACATAACTACTTGAACTGAATTCATGTACAGTGTACCTGTCCGCGGAGCGGACACTTCACACTTTCATCTGTAGTTGTGCCAGTGGACACCTGGAATAATGCCGGTGAATGGCACGGGCGGTGGTCAGACNTGATACTTGACGGGCTTGGCTTACTCGAAATATAATGGAAAGAACAGTCGCGAGCGTAAACAAATGCTACGTTTCAACAACCAATCAGGATAGAGATACCCACACTACGTCACTTGCAGGTATCCCATTGTCTTTAAAACAATTCTCGCATGCTATATATTTACTAAAAAATAAGAGACGTTCACATAGAATTTTCGAAACTACGATTGATGACAACACATTATTAACCTCTTGACATAGAAATGATCTTTGATTGCACTGTAAACAACAACTCGCAAGTTGACAAAGATGCCAACTGCTGCGGACATGCCAAAATAATTTTAAAAAAAAACGGTAAAAAACTACAAACTAAATTTTGCAAATATTTAACTATTTTTGCTTGCTTTATAAAAGGTATAACATGACATAACTACTTGAACTGAACTCGTGTACAGTGTACCTGTCCACGAAGCGGACACTTCACACTTTCATCTGTAGTTGTGCCAGTGGACACCTGGAATAATGGCGGTGAATTGCAGGGGCGGTGGTCAGACTAAATCTACATTTAATCTATACGCATGAAAAACTGTATTTAGGGTTACATAACAACAAAGTGGCAAATTATATAAGGTTACGAATTATTTAGAAATAGTGGCGGATAAAAATCTACTAAATTAAATTCATTAAACCAAAAGTCACAATTGATAAACTACCGCTTTAAAATATTTATTTGCTGTCCGGAGCAAGTTGGCATCTCTGGGTTGAAGACGTCTGAGACACGTCAATTATTGTTTTAGCATAAGAAAAATGACGTCTCCCAGCCGTCTTCGTATGTCAAAGGGTTAATTGTATAAACATAGTATCAACTTACCGTTAATTTCGTGTTTTCAGTATTATTCCCTTGACTTGGATTTTTTTGTTTATGAAGTTTATCCACTTTACCTTTAAAACTAACCTCAGAGATTTTCTCTCCACCATTTAAAAGAAGAGGCTTCTGACCACTCTCTTTGATGCTACTTTCGTTTGAATCATTCGAAATTTGGCCACCGGTTGCTGAAGTCTTGTACTCACTATGTTTTGAAACGTTATCTTTAGTGTCAGCTTTCAAGTCAACCGAGCTACCTGTTGCATTACTCTTCTTCGAAAGCAAACTTCGTGACTCCAAAATTATCGACTTCGGAGGATAACTTCCCTCTTCTTCGTATGGTTGGTCATCACCTTTAGCCATCACTTTCGACTCGTTGGAAACTGCTAGTGGTGCGTTTTTATCATTAGCAATCATTGATGGATCCTTTTCAACACTGGCAAACATCGTTGATCCCTTCTCAACACTGGAAGCCAATGGCGTCACTTTTTTAACGCTCCCAATCGAGAATGGCTCTATCTCAGCATTATCAACCAACGGCAACACTTTTTCAACACTACCAGCTGCTGAAGGAACTTGTTTAATATTGGCATCCATTTGCAAGTTTTTTTCAACATCAGAAAAAAACGTTGTCAAATTTGTAGCATTGGAAGTCAATGCCACAACTTTTTCGACATTAGTATCCGATGGTGACACTTCTTTTACACTAGCAATTGATGGCAGCGCTTTAGCAACGAATGGCGATACTGATACATCGCCCTCAAGTGGAACATCTCTTAATCGTATTTCTGAAACGCCATCTTTAGAGTTTGTGTTCTTATAAACTGGTAAAACTGGGTCGGGAAAACTTCGATAATTTTGAATCAGTGTTAATTGGGATTCTTCGGCATGCAGTTGATGATCTTCAGCTGATTTTTCTCTACCCCCAGCAGTATTCTTGTTTGTTATTTCTGACTCATCTTCACTTCCGGCAGAATGGGAAGCAGAGTTGCTTGTTTTCAAATTCTCCCTCGTTCTTGCATCTAATATACCAACTGACATGTCTTTTAAGTTACCACCAAATTCCTTCCCTGCCGAATCATCCCCTTTTTCTGCGTCCGATACTGAAGTCCCCGTATCATTCTTGTTTCCCAATTCATGAAGATTTCTGGTATCCAGAGAACTATTTTCTTTAGATGCGATTTCAATTTTGGAGCCAATAGTCTCCTTTTGGATTTCGTCCGTCATTACTCCTTCGTGATCATGTTTTTCTTTAATATTTTGAGGTTCTTCGATGTCTGATAGCACATCTCCTTCCAATGGACGTAAGGACATGAAGCGGAGGAAAAATCGGCCATTTCTTCCATTGAGATGAGTCATCTTTGATTTCATCAAGAATTGTTGCCCTTGCAAATCCACCAATTTTGAATCTTCACCACTTTCAGTATCTATTAAGTATAAACAAAAAATAAAACACTTATTTAACAATACTAATACAAAGAAACTGGTCCAATTTAATTAATTAGTGAAATCTGTTTCCATTAATAATTTAATCTTTATTTAATCGTTTTTTAGATGATTTGTACCGAGAATAATCTACAATATGCTTCACTTGTATTTAACTTTCCATTTTTCGATATGCACAATTACTTTATTATTAGTATTTTATCTGAGAAAAAAAAGGTATAATCAAACTATTTTAATATTATAAAAATCTACACACATATCTAAATTTATACTGTTCTTAGTGTGTTTAAGAAGAAAATAAGTGACAACTTATGCAGAAAAGAATACCTTCTTGATTTAAATATAGATGCAATATTAGCATTTTTTAATTGTTAAAAATAAATGTATAAAAACGTCCATGAATGGGTTATTGAGTCTAATTTATCATATACTAGCCCAAAGCATAAAATTTCAGTTCTAAAGTAGTAGCGAGACTGAAATTTTTGTCGCCAGTATTTTTTGACAAAAAATATATAAACAATTTTCAAAACGTTAACTGATGAATCATTAAGAGCTTTTTAGTGACCAAAACCAATAGAGAATGCAGAAAATGAAAACTAAAACACGTTTATTGTTTTAAAAAAATGCTGAAATTATTTTAAGAAAAGTCTTAATGGTTTAAATGTTATTCACACATCATAAAAAGTAAGGTCAGATTTTCATTACCCGCAGTCATCAGTACGGTACTTTTATTTACACTGCACTGTAGCCACACAATGGGCTATATTCGACGGTCTGGGAAACATCCTGAGGATGATCAGAGGACAACATACATACTACTCATCCCGTTTTAGATTGAGGACACATTCACACAACGATCCATCCATCCTTAATTTTAACCAGACGATCAATCTCCGATCCAGTACCCCGAGGGGCATTGATTTGTTATGGGAACTTGAAGGACTTAGTGTACCCCGAAAGATTTAGCTTGCATCAGTAGCGCGATTCAGATTTAGTGTGCACACAGGGAGTCCCGGAACTAGCACGAGAATTTCACTACCCGGTTTTCAATCTGAAGATCCTGTATCCGGACTCGGTCAATTTTACCGGACAACCCAGTCCCTAGAAACCTTCATTTATGTTCGACACAGCCACATTACATTTAAAGTAACCCATAAAACTATTTTTTAATATAGTTGTGATGTAGGAACTCTTGTGCATAATTTGTACTCAGGAAAATCTCGATGAAGTGGAAACCTTTAGGATAGAGAAATATGTTCGTTAAAGAGAGGTGTCCGCTTAGAAGAAAGACAAGCAAATTCCGAAAACTAGTGCTGAAAATTATTTTAGCTAAGTAGGAAGATTTGCACTTTTACATTACATTCCGTACGATCCCGTACGTAAGATTTCAAATAATTGCGCATGCACAATGAAGTGCACTTGTGTCAATTCTGGTCAAATGTGCATGCGCCCGTGAAAATATATCAAACTTACGTAAATGAAAATAAGAGATTTTCATCATTAAATTTTTATAAATAGTAAGATTTCATAAGATTGCCTAACTGTTACGTACCACGCCAGGTAATAAATTAGCATTTTACTGGATTCCTGGAACCAACGCGTAACAAAAATAAAAAATAAGTGATGGGTATCCACAATCGGGCGGAGAAAAAACAGATTTTTTCACCGGGTACCCAGATTCGGCAAAATTTAAGGACCCAGTACATTTCCAACTAAAAGTCATTGAAGTACAAAAGAATATCAAAGCACTAAAACATCAGAAATGCCTGATACTTGTTTGCATACCGCTACCTTGCGACACTAAAATATTGTATGCCAATTTCAATCTAATATCAAACTCTATTGGGGAGAGGAAAGGTTCATTTTATTTCATTCTTTATTTTATTTTATTACCAATGCTGAACAGCCTACCCAATTCTGACTACCAATGTTCAACTACCAATGTTTACAACTACCAGTGATCAACTTTGTATCCTTTGTTGTTTTTTGAACCTAACCCAGAAGACATGGGGATTTCTGAATTAGGCACTAGCTACGCTTCGTGGAATGCTTTCTTATAATATTAACCCACATATACATTACAAGGAGAGGAAAATCTCTCACAATTAGCTCGACGGCAAGGAGATTCAAAACGATGATCCATCTACCACTAAGGATATATTTTACGTCAGTGTGTTCGGTGCGAGGGCAGAGGACCCGCCACAGCTAGTATTCGAACCTTATCTCATTGGGAGGAAATCGCTCTTATCCCTGAACCACGATAGCTCAGGGGTTGGAATTTATAGAAAGTCTGAGCAAATTATCAAGTTCTGCAAGCTTTCTATCTTGCAGCCTCCCTCAAATGAAGATGTTGTTATACAGCACAAAAATGTTATAAATCTGGAGCATATTTGGGGCATGAACTTTCTCTCAATATCAAACTTATTCAACACTTTTCCTATTCTGCGAACACAACATCCATTTGTTCATTAAATAAATTTGGGTTTAAAAGAAGATTTTCTGTCCCAAATTGAAAAAGGAAAGCCAACCTAAGACGTTCAGAAATATTGTTAACACATAGATTTTTCTGTGATGCACATCTTTGCATATTTAATTTAATCTCGCTCTCTTAAAATCTGAAACTCTTACATGTGTCGAGGGAAAACTTTAGGGAAAATGTGGTAGTTTGATTTGTAACACATAATATCATGCTTATTCACCAGCCCTAATTTTTTAATATTTTTATGAATCTTATTAACACTCAATCTATATATTTATTTAATGTATACCCCTCAATACCTTTCAATACCTGGTTGCCAAATTTGAGAATTAACGCACTGAAAAGTGGCAATTTTAAAGGTCTCCCTCAGACAGAAAAGAATTTTAAGTCCTCCATATTAATTTACGAAGAACATTATACATATGAACATTATTTTTTTATTAAAGAAAGAAATTAATATTTTTGAATATATTTTGCTCATTGACATTTGTACTACTGAACCTAGTCTCCCACAAACTAGGTCCTAATAAAACGCATTTCAATGAATAAAATGTAGCAAAAAATTTTCGAAAATTTACTTAATGAATGATGTAATTACTTTCGTATAATTTTCCGTAGGTTAATAAAAAAGGAATTAGAATCACTTTTCGATTTGAATACATTTAAGAAATTGGATATTATTAGAAATGCTGACTTTTTTCTTTTAGGGATATTAAACACCTATGAATAGTATACTTAAAAAAAATGTAAGGTTACCAGAAATCTGAAACTTTCATAAATCACTTACCACTTGAATTTCCTGCTGCTTTTGAAGAATTAGGATGAAGTGGTAAATTAATTCTCGAGATGCTACCGAGAACATCCGAGATTAAACTTCTCATAGCACTTTGAATTCGTTGAGGAGAATCTTCAGCAGTAGATGAGTCTTCGGAAGTCTCTGCGTCATAAATGGGCAGTCTGTCCGATATGTGAATGGCCGGTGGTGGTACAGGCTGTACAGAAATCCTCTGGAGGGGTGGAATAACGAGTGGTACAAATGCTCGGAACATTATTGGTAGAGGTGGTAAGATTGGAACACTTAATTCTTTATCTCCGTCAAATTCTTTTGAGTTTATTTCTGCTCTATTATCATTGTCATTCGTGTGGTTGATAACTTTACTCGAGATTGCAGTGGACAGTTCTTCACGAAACTCCTTATCTTTCTTATTAGGGGAAGCACCTTCTATTTTCTGTCTGCTATGAAGTTCCTTATCCTCCGTATTAGAGGAAGCACCTTCTATTTTCTGACTATTATGAAGAAGCTCTTTATCATCCTTACTTTCAGAAGCGCCTTCTATTTTATGTCTGTGATGAAGTTCCTTATTCTCATTATTGGCGAATGCGTTTTCCCTTTTGTGTCCGTCATGAACCTCCTTATTCGCTGAAATGCCTTCTCTTTTCTGACTGTTATGAAGCTCTTTATCATCCTTATTAGATGAAGCACTTTCTATTTTCTGTCTGCTATGAAGCTCTCTATTCTCCTCATTAGAGGAAGTGCTTTCCATTTTCTGTCTATTATGAAGAACCTTATCCTCCTTATTCGCGGAAATACCTTCTCTTTTCTGCCCGTCATCAAGCTCCTTATTCTCTTTATTTGCTGAAGCATTTTCTCTTTTTTGATCATTCTGAAGTTCTTCATCCTTCTTATTTTCCAATTCAGACTTCTCTGCTGGTGCAACGTTCGTGGAAATTTTAGGTTCAATCACACTTCCAGTTACCATTGTCACATTTCGTTTCGATTCAGCGCTGTTTTCAACGAACCCACTGTCATGTGTTTTTCGTGAACTGTTAGAGATAGCTTTAGGTTCCATCAATCCTTTCCGTTCAACGTTATGTTCAACGACTTGACCATCATTTACTTCGTGCGTCCTGTTATTGATATTTTTTCTTTCAGCTAAATTTTTATATGACACATTCACATTGTCCTGAGATTCAGCATTACGCGCAATGACACTGCTATTATTTGCTTTTTGTGCACCGTTGGTGAAACCATTAGGTTCAATTAATTTTCCATTCGCCACTGTCAAATTTCTTTTCGATTCATCGCTAGGTTCAATTGCGCTACTACCGTTAGCTTCGCGTACAAGGATCTTTGAAACCAGATGCTCTGCGGTTGTATTGACGATCGTTTCGTTGTTTCGAGAGTCTGTTTTTTCATCTTTTCCGAAAGGCAGTGCAGCAGAATCACTATTAGTATCAACAACGGTACTGACGTTTGGGATTTGATTCGAGGATCTGCTTAAAGTTATCAAGTTGAACAGCAATAGAACAGCGGTGACGCTCTTTATCCAGATTAACATATTCTAGAAAAGAAAGAGCTAAAATTAATATTTAGATCTATTCATATTGGCTTATATGTCATTCGAGAGTGCTGAGGGGATCACCTCCCAGTGATGTCCCCCATGTGAACAATTCCTATACTTCCGCACCGACAAACACGGTGCTAACTAAAAATATCCCAATATTGCTTTATACAATCGCCATACAAACCATGGGTTAAAGCAGCAGTCGGAAAAACTACATTATTTTTTTAGTTTACTACCACTACAACTACTTTGTTATAAATGTAGTTGTAATGTAATATAAATCTACAATTACAGCTACTTCTTTTTTATGTAGTGACTAAAACCTACATTGGAATTTAGAAACTACCTCACTTCTTTAAGGAGACGAACGTTGCTGCAGAACTTAATTCACACCTACGTTCAAGAAATTAGCTTACATTATAAATTACATTAAATTACATTATATACATATAATTACATGTAATCATTATAAATTACTTAAAATTATATTAAATATAAGGGAATAATTAAAAAATATTCCTTCACGTTCATACGAGTCTGTTTGTTATTTCAAAAAACTTTTTTTCGAATTTGTTTATTTAAATTTCAACTTTTTATGACTTTTTCTACAACGAATGTTTGATTTAAGATATGTAAAATTGTCAAGTACTTGCAATTTTTTAATTGCTTAATGCTATTTTATTTCCAAGAAATTAAGTATATCGAAAAAATAAGTTTCTTTTCTATGAAATAACATCCATGTTTCACGAGCGTGCATTCGCATGTGAAAGTGTGACTAAAGTTATTAATTATCTACTTTTCGCAATGACTAGATTAAATATTAGTTATACGTGATTTTAAATAAGTAATTTCTGTTAGCATTTAACTACAGTCAGAGGATTATTTTCATAGCATCCATTGACAGACCCGCGAAGATGTGTACAAATCAAATTCGAAAAATTAGTGTTTCTTTTCTTAAACTAACGTTAAAAGTATTGTTTGTCTACTATAAGAACCCCCCCCCCAACAAAATCTGAGGCTATCTGCTGCTATGGAAACAAGAATAGCGCATTTCAGGGAAGGTAGCTTCTCTCCACTCTAGGGCTAACACAGACCAAAGAAAAAGATTCCCTTTCTCTCGCCGACCCGAGCCGAAACCTGCCCTAAACACTGACCCCACACCCCTACTTGAAATAGTTAGACCTCGGTACCATAGTCACCGCCACGGGTCCAGACGAATGGCTAGGGAAGTTCTCACTTTAGACAAACTATAATTGCCAGGAATAGCTACGAACTACTGTTTTTTTTATATCGCACTACTCGCTACACTACATTTTTTAAAAAGTAGCACACTGCACTACAAACTATGAAAACAAGTAGCGACTACAGTAGTTTCACTACTTGTGGTTAGGACTGAGCAATACATCGATTTATCGGAAAATATCGATGTTGTGTAATCATCGCCGATCCGATGTTTAGGTTGGCGTATTTTACGAAGCATCGGAAACTCCGATGTCCGTGCGATGTGTACGATGTTTCCCGAGGCATCGATGTTTCCCCGATGCCGCGAAGAGCGATTCTTCAGATTCAACATCGATGTTCGCAAGCGTGCGCGAAGAGCATTTCCCCCGATTACGAGGCGACATCGATTGCCGTGATGATATTTTCCCTTGTGTTTCTTCCTTTGCGAATTATCAAGTAACGATGTGCTGACGATGAATTCCGATGTGACTAGGAGTGAAACTAACTCATCGCCTATGAAAGATGAAAAAGTACCTTCTTCAATTCGTGCAAATCCAAGAAAACAAAGTGATTCTCTGAGCACTATTTATATTTTGTTATATAATAATATTTTGAGATCATTTTTGTCTTGTTGAAGAAAAGATTGTTTTTGATCAGTTCCGATAAGACTTTTTGTTTGTTTATTTTTTTACCTATTTATTTTTCTCTGTTAAATCTGAAGAATTGCATTCCTTCAATATAGATAAAATGTTTTCATTAATAATTTTGTATAAAGTTGCAATTTTGCATATTGACCACGTTTTCAATTATTAAAAAATGATTATCATTACTGTCAGAAAATATAAAAAAAATCTAATATTTTTGCAAAAAATTTTGGTAAACGAGATTTTAAACCGACGACTTATCAAACGCAAATTTTCTTTTTAAGATAGTCGTTCTGTTTTTATTTCTTTAGCATTTTCTTTTTCGACTTGATTGCATTTCGATCTTCCTTATTTATAACAATTTTTATAAGAGTGTGCAGTTAAATTTTATTTCCCGAAATATAGTTTAGCAACATAATAATACATTAGGTTAGCAGTAATTATGAAAATAAATTTTTAAATAATTGATTTTTACAATATTGAAGCCATAATAATTTCCACTGTATCCTTTTCCAGGAAATTTTGTTTTTATACTAGTTCTTCGCTATTTCCTCAAAAATATTGAAGGTTACTGCCTTTAATAAATTATTCAAGGATATTCTTCAAGAAATTCTGGAGAATGAATGGCCAAGAGGTTATGGTTATACGCATCGGCTGTTCTAAGTTTTCTATCTTTCTCAATCCATAATTTTTTTTTATCTTTTTTTATTACGTTTTTTATTTTTCTGTTTATAAAGATTTTTAAATAGTTGGCTCAATGCGCATTTTAAATTTCATTTTATTTTTATAATTGCATCTATTTTATTTTTACAGTTGTCTGACATACTTTGTGGCAGGCTAAGACTTTTGGTCTATTGATCTGATTTTCACGTATTAGAACTTAATCTTTAGTTGTTTGAGGGAGAGACCTCAAATATGCTAATTAGTTTAAGCAGACAATATTTTAAATTACGAAGTGAGGCACAAAAGCGTATTTATCTGAATAAATTTTTTTGACGGATTGATTCCTCACCCTCAAAATATAAGGCGTAGCCGTAATCTGAGAAATATAGTCCTAATAATTTGGTCAGGAGAGCAATCGAAAGTTAGGATCTCTTGATGTTAATGCTACTTTTTGCTTATTTCGTCATATTTCGAGAACTGTTAACTCGAATTGAAAAATTTTAGCTCAGAATTATAAAATTCGTTTATCCAAAGATAATTTTATGCAAAAATGATTTTAATTAATTTTTTTATTAGTAATGGTCGAAAAAGTTTGAATTGTAAGGTATACAATTTTTTTAACGAATATGATTTTTTATTTTAAAATAAAAAAGTTAAAAGAAATTAGTTGAATAGTTTCTGAAAAATAAATTTAAAAATATCAGACTTTTTGAAATCCGATTGCTAAGTCAAAAGTAATTTTTTTCATGCACTATACTCTATCCACAAATATCAAATATTAATTGCTAAAATATTCATGTCAAGATAAATTTATTACAATATAAAAGCTGAAAAAAATTCACTAATTTTTTCTAATTTTATTTTCTAGAAAAATTATTTCTTAATACAATAATTTTTTAATGTGTTTTTGTTTAAGATACCTAACCATCATTAAGAATGCTGAAAATTAACAATAATTTTTGTAGGCCAAAGTTGAAATACTATTCTTCTTTTTTTTTACCCTTCTTAACTCATCCTTAAAGATAATTTACTCATTTTTTTCAAAGCTGCATGCAAAATTTTAATGAATTATTCGTTTCACTAGTTAACTATTTATTCATTACCCTCTTTCTTTAATTTAAAAACTTCCGATTTTTTTCCAGCAAAATCTGAAGGTAGAAAAGATGTGTTTTGTTTAAATTGAAAAAGACAGTCTATTGAATTATTTTAATCCGAAGGAAGAAAATAATCAAAATAAAAATAATAAATAAAAAAAAATAGAAAAAAACCCATTACAATAAATATTTTTTACTTACATATTTTTATTAATATATATACCAGGCTATAAAGTCATACATTTAATTTACTCCTATNTCTAGGCATAACACAGACCAAAGAAAAAGATTCCCTTTCTCTCGTCGACCGGAGCTGAAACCTGTCCTAAACACTGACCCCACACCCCTACTTGAAATAGTTATTACCTCGGTACCATAGTCACCGCCACGTGTCCAGACGAATGGCTAGGGAAGTTCTAACTTTAGACAAACTATAATCACCAGAAATAGCTACGAACTACTGTTTTTTTCTTATATCGCACAACTCGCTACACTACAATTTTTAAAAAGTAGCACACTACACTACAAACTATGAAAAAAAGTAGCGACTACAGTAGTTTCACTACTTGTGATGCACTACTACCGATCACAAAGTTAATGTTTCCTTTTCAACGGGCTAACCATGGGTAGGCAGCAAAAGGGTGCTCCTATGAATTCACACACTTTCATTTTAAGTTGACTACAACAATTGATTATTATTTACATTCCATAACTAACAAAAATAATAAAATCTGCCTCGGATCTGCCAAAAAGACAAATTTAAAAGAGAAAATGTTACGCTAGTGTCGAATTTAATAACATTCTACGTGAAAAAAAAGAGCTTAATGTAAAGTATAGCCAAATAGTAGTAAATTATGAGTCGAATTCTTCCTTGCAGTTTTGCTTAAAATTAAGCAAGAAATTATACTCACAGTGCGGAAAATTAAAGACACCAAAAGCCTTAATAACTTTTGATCTAAGGATCAGTTTTTCACAAACTAAGATGTAATCTTTATGGTTCGAGGGTCTAACCTTAATCATACTAAAATATTTGTCATGACGACATTTCAAGTTATGCCAAAAAAAAAACTTTATTGATCTGAATAAACGTGCCTTTCTGACAGCATATTTACATTTTTTACCCGAAAAATATGTAGAGTAGTTGCAATACAGAAAACACGACCCAAATAGTTTGAAGCCCGTAATGTTAATTTCACTTTTTGCGCATTTCTCCATCTCGAAGAGGTCATGTTTTTAAATTTTTATTTCTCACAAACTACTCAACTGATTTCCTTCACACTTTGAATTCACACGTAGATTAAAATTGTGTAAAAATGTGAATAATTTACAATTAAAATTTTTCCGGTCATAAGTAAATCCTAAAAAATAACAATAATTATTTTTTATTTAAACAATCATTTTAATTAAAAATAACAATAATTATTTATAAATAATTATTTTTTAAGTAAAACTATCTTTTTATCTTCAGTTCTAAAATCACGTGTAAAAAGTGTGTGATTCGCTTAAAACGCTCAAAAGATATAAGGAAATATGGAAAAAGTAAAATTAACATTCAGGAGTTCAAACTTATGACCACTGTCCAGTTATCTTTCCCAAATTGCTACTCACCCTTCCTATGTTTTGAGGGTCATGAGTTCAAATAGGGATGAAGAAAAATATTTGTTTAGAAAAAGTATGTTTTTGTGTTTGATTTCGTACATTAAAATAGGGTTTACACTAATTAAATAGCATATTTAAGGTTAAGTCCAAAAACTATTTAGACAGTCATAATAATTTTTTCCTAAGATGACCAAAAAAAATATTTTTTACTTATTTATACTATCTAAATAACATATTAAATATTCTAAGCATTTTTCTTTTAAAATATAATTTTTCTAAGTATAATCTAAATATATTTTTAAAAAGTATATTTTTAAAAGTGCAAATTCAAAAGAGAAAAATTTAAGTTAGAATAAAATCGCTTGCAAATTTATCAAAAATAAAGTCATAGCTAAAGCGAAAACTATCCTCAACACATAATATAAATTTACAACCCTTTTTACTATTGTTATCATTATAATTTTTCTTTCTTTTAACGCACAACAAAAAAAAAGGTAATTAAAATCGGTACTTAAAAATAAGTATCAGCAAAAACTTTAACACTTTAAGTTAATAATTTTTAATACAAGCAAATACATGAAAAGTACTCACTTGGATAAAATTCAGCTACTCATTTAAATTCGATTAGTTGTTCGAACAGTTTTTTAAAAAAACTATTCCAGAAAATTCTGAGGAGCTAAAAGAAAGGGAATGTGTTGCGTTTCTCTCCCAAGTATTTAATATGTCAGAAAAACAGTTTCAAGTATTTTTCCTCTCTGGGCGAATGCTTTTTTGATTCATTTAATGCTTGAATAAATTCGGAAAGTCTCGGTCATTTGTACAAACGGTGTTACACTTTCTTTGGATATTTATCTCTCAAAAACACATTCAGACAACCTATTTCTCGTCTCATTTTACTTGTTTATTTTATCACTCGCTTCGAGGCAATTAATTTCATTTTGAGAAAGTAAATCAGTCAATTTTTTTTTCGTGGTTTAAATGAAGCGTTTAATGCTTAATGCAATTAACAAATAATGATTTTTATGATGACAAATCGCTAATGTAAAGAGAGAAAAAAACAAATGAAACGTTTTTCTGTGTCAAAAAGTTAATTTTCAGTCATGCATTTAAAAAAGTATACACTTAGAAAATCCGAAATGGAAAAAACTACAGCAGTACAATTAACCTTGAATAACTTTTGTTTCTATGAGCAGACTTTCAGTTGCAATATTAATGGTTTGACCTCAAAGATCCTAATTAATTAGTGCTAACTATTAATGAAGATAGGGAACCAACACGAAAACGTACTTTCTCTGTGTAAGCATACATTTTTTATGGATCATAATGGCCATCAAATGCTTTACCATCAAAATATGTGGGATAGCTGCAATTTTAAAACTTAATAGTTTATCTTAATGGTCTTAATAGTTTAGTCGAGACAGCGATCAAAAGTTTGGGACACTTAATTTTAACTTCAGAGCATCAAAGAATTATCAAGCTCATTGATCAAAAGATTTGACTAGTAGTGAACGCTAAGATTTCACAAATATCGTTGGGCTGAGTCGTGGTGGCTCAGGGGATAGAGCGCTCGCCTCCAACCTGGGTTCAATCGATACGAGTTCCGCCCCTGGCTTTCCCCAACACAGCGCTGACGTAAAAATATCTTCTGTGGTAGACGGATACCTTGAACTAATGTTGTTCTTTTTCTCTATAATTGCTGTAACCTTAATATCGTACTTTTTAAACTTGATTACTTGATATTATGGTTCAGTTTGAAGGGAAATATGAATCAAATTTAACATCTTATAAAAATTGCAGTAAGTTCAAGTTTCAACGAATTGCTATGGAACAAAGTTTAAAAAAAAAATTTTTACACCGTAGTGATTAAAATACAATGCCACACAACTTTAACGAAGACTTAAAACCAATATTATTTTTAAGATCAACAAAGTTTATATTGCACACTGACTTTTGCGATGACTATATAGACTTTTACAATGTTATAATGGACTGACAACCAGAAAATATTTTTAAGCTCATAACGTAAGCAATTGCTCTAGATGCATTTCTATTGACCTAAAAAGTTTTACTTCATTTCATTAAAGTAATTTTTTTTTACACTGTGATAAAATTAACAAGAATATTTTTTTAAATGAAAAAAAAAGAAAGAAATATTCTTCCAAACTGCAAAATATTTCGTGTACGAAACGTGATAGTCTATGGTAATTGCCAATGCTAGTAGTTAAGATAGTTTTATGTGTATAAGTCAATTGGAGACATGATGGCGTATAATTTGCAACGACTATCAATGCAATAGAGAATTTTCTACTACTAGCAATAGTGATGTTAGCAAACTTGGTGGATGATATAAAGAATCTTACAAGCTTTAGAAGGTAAAATCGAGAAAAGGTTTTATTTTGGAAGAATTATGCTATTGAGTCTCAAAAAAATAGTTGGCGAAAAATCCTTAAATCTGGTACTTTAACAGCATTTTCATCACAATGACCCAATTCTTAATTTATGACTACGAATGTTCAACTCCGAAGCCTTGTCATTTTGAACCCAGTCGAGAAGACAAGGGAACTCCTGGATCAAGTATTGGAAGAAATTTGCCTTTACGGAGGACTTTTCGATGGGACTAACACGCATCTGCGTTAACATGGAGAGGAAAACCACGAAAACATCCCACGGTTAGCCTGTCGGTAAGGGTACTCTAACCCATGATCCATCTAGAGACTGAGGATATTTTACGTCAGCACTGTGGTCGGTGCGAGCCGTGTTCGGAATTCGTAACAATAAGCCATCGCTGGGATTCGCACCCGGTTCACTACACTGGAAAGCGAACGCTCTATTCCCTGAGCCACTACTGCTCTGAACACTCGACTTTGCACATGGAACTGTATTTGCTGTATTAATTTAGAACTATCGTCTTTTCATTTCTCGGCAACTATAATTGAGCACTAATTTTTATCGCCAAAAAGATTTCCCGACAATAACGACCAACATAAAATGAGTATTTAACCATTGTAAAATAATAGCGAATTAAAAGTTGTGGAAAAAAATTAAGGAATCTTTGATTATACGAAATTTAGCTTTAATCTGAAATTGAAACCTTCAAAAATATTCTATAAAATGCTGATGTTGTTATTATTAAGAAGTTTCAAAACTATGATGGAATTGGTGAATGCAAAGCAATGACTAAAACATTCCTTTGCTAATTATAAATCAATAAATAAAATAAAAATAAATTATTTTCATTACCTTTCCTGTTATTAAAACTTCGTTCAGTCGGGTACTTTTTTCATACAAGTCTTAAAATATTTCTTCTGGAAAACAAATAATAAAATTTTGTAATTTTCTACAGAACAGCAAATTGGTTCGCGTGATTAAAAACTGATCAATTAGCCATTAGCTGAAATTCAAATAATTTCAATGACAACCACATTATGATTGTGGGATATAAAACAGATATGAATTTACTTTAAAGTAAAATGAGGATTACATCAAACTATTAACTTCAACTTCAAAATTCCTTAGGTTCCAAAATCTCTATGTGCTAACTATCAACAAAACAACACATAGTTTTCAGACTTGTCAACATTCCACGCTATTTGAGAAAATTTCTCCTAGTGTTAGCTAAGTTTATGTTTGGTACTTTGGGATTATCCCGTCGACCTGACAAAACTCTCGAAAATGCGCAAATTATGTAGCGTCATCATAATGCAAAGCAATTTCCAAAATAAACATTCTAAAAAGATTAAATTTATTAACTAATAATAAAATAATAATATCAAAAATATGTGAGGATAAATATGCGTAATTAAAAAATTGTAATAAAAAGAATCAACGCAAAGTAAAAACTTCTATTTTTCCTTTTTTTTAATAATTGCACATTGAATTATTATTGAATTTAACCTTATATAATTTATTATAAATCATTTCGGCGGGCAACTCTCTCGCTTAATAAAGGATTACACAGAAAATATCACAAAATTTGCGGTTATTGGCACAGAGGTTGCCTTTTGGCGAAAATGGCTGACGGGATAATCCCAAAGTCCGAAAATAGTCGACGCGATAATCCCAAAAGACGAAAATGATCTAAGGGATAATTCCAAAGAGCCGTTTTAATGTAGTACTCCTTGTTTTAGAAATTTGATTTATAGGTATTTTACACATCACTACATGTAAATGTTTCAAATATTAGTTCTCTCGGGGCAAAGCTTTTAAAATGTTGGCAAAATTACCAAAAGGTTTGAAAGCTTTAGTATTTAGTTGTGTACCACTATACAAAATATTTTGCAAAAGGCGTAAATATATAAAAGGTTATGTACTTTAAAGGCCTGCCTTTAAAGTACGTCACCTTGTCTGCCCGCACGTCACGAAAATTATCCCCGCTTCAATTTCAGGTATATATTGCTATATTAGAATGATTTAGCGGCAAGCCGCTTGGTGGCTCAGAGGACACAGTGCTCGCCTCCGTATTAGGTGACCCAGGTTTAAATCCCAGGGATGGCTGGTTGATACGTATTCGGCACCCGGCTCGCGCCGACCACAGTGCTGACGTAAAATATCCTCAGTCGTAGGCGGATCGATCATGGGTTAGAGTCCCCTTCCCGTGAGACTAACCAAGGTAGATTTTCGTGATTTCTCTCTCCACGTGACGTTCATCAAAAGTTCCTCCACGGAGGCAACTTTCTTCTCCCAATACTTGCTCCAGGAGGTTCCTTGTCTTCAGGATTAGGTTCAAAATTACAAGGCTACCAAGTTGAACATTAGTGGTCTTAAATTCGAAATTTTGTCGGCTGCTCAGTCTGCTCAGATTCGACGACGGTTATAAAATAAAATAAAAAATTGTTGAGGGATTATTAACAGATAATAAAATTTATGAAAACATTTCCAACAAATTACGTTTTCTAGTTTTCTAAATAACTGTTTACTGCACAAGGACTTCAATAAGCTACTTCAATAAGCTGTGACATTTTTTTAAAAAGAATTCTAAAAATCCATTTTTTAAGATTTTTTTATTTAATAGTCGCAAATATTTCCCCAAAGTAAAGTTTGAAAGTAAAATTTGAGTAAGATTTGAAAAAAAAATGACACCAAGGGTAGTAAAAAAATTTCGTAACAAAAAGAATTTTTATGAGATTTTGAAGAATTCGAATTTATAATTTATTCCTTAAATGGAACGCAACAGGACGCTATACAATGGGAGAAACTTTTTATGGCAAATACTGTTTCACATCTATTGGTAATTTAAAATTTATAAGTTTAGAGAAAAGTGAGTTCAAGTAAATTTAGAGTAAATCATGAAGTTTCAAATTCTGAAAAATATTTTTCAAAATATACGAATGTAAACAAATTAGACAGGATTATTTAGTGGGGAAGTAATTCTGTATTAATTTGTTTGAATTTTTGAATTTTGAAAACATTTTTCGAGCATTTGAAACTTCATGTTTTTTTCTGAGTTAAATTATTTTGGTAAAACAGAATATGCCGTGAATGGTGTGAGTGAGCATTATTTTTGTAGTTTACTACAACTATTACTACTTTGTCAGAAATGTAGTTGACTAAAATCACAACTACTTTTTTTAAATGTAATAACTACAAACTACTTTGGAATTGTAATGACTACTTCACTATTTTAAGGAACCGAACTTTGCTGGAAAAATTAATTTACACATTATGTTCGAAATGGTTTTCAAATGGTTGAATAAAACATTGGTTTACATAAAATATAAGGAATAATTAAGAAAGATTCATTTATGTTTACACCAGTTTGTTATTTCAAAACACTTTTATCGAATTTGTTCATTTCATCTTCAATTTTTATGCATTTTTAGACAGGGAGTATTTAAGAAAAGCTAAATTATCAAATTTTTAATGCTCCTTTATTTCCTCTAAGAAATTAAGTACATCGAAAAAATAAGTTTCTTTTCTATGAAATAACATCCATGTTTCACGAGTTTTGCTTTCGCTTGTGAGAGTGTCATCGAAATGATTAAATATCTTTTTTTCGTAATGGCTGGTTTAAATATTAGTTATACGTGATTAAAATTTCTGTTAGCATTTAACTACAGTCAGAGGATTATTTTCATAGCATCCATTGACAAACCCGCGAAGATTTGTACAAATCAAATTCGAAAAATTAGTTGCTGTAAACCCATTTTTCTTTTCTAAAGAAAAGTTAAAAGTAGTATCCAAGATCACTACAAACTACTGTTTTTTTTTAGTCGCACTACTTACTACCATATATGGCAACGTTACTTTTAAAAAGTAACGAGTAAAAGTACAAGTATTTTTAAAAAAAGTAACGAGTAAAAAGTAAAAAGTTCTTGTTTTAAAAAGTAACGAGTAAAAAGTACAAGTAAAAGTNCCGGGCGTCCGAAGACAAGTGTCATCGAAATGATTAAATATCTATTTTTCGTAATGACTGGTTTAAATATTAGTTATACGTGATTAAAATTTCTGTTAGCATTTAACCACAGTCAGAGGATTATTTTCATAGCATCCATTGACAGACCCGCGAAGATTTGTACAAATCAAATTCGAAAAATTAGTTGCTGTAAACCCGTTTTTCTTTTCTAAAGAAAAGTTAAAAGTAGTATCCAAGATCACTACAAACTACTGTTTTTTTTTTGAGTCGCACTACTTACTACGCTACTTTTTTTTAAAAAAAAAGTAGCGACTACAGTAGTTTCACTACTTGTGTGAGCTACTTCCGACTGCTGATCTAGATCTATTGGTTCTTTTGTCAATCGAGACTGCTGATTGGGTGGCTTCCCGAAGATGTAAACCAAGTGATCAATTCCTATACGAGTCTGCACTGACAAACACGATGTTAACGAAAAATGTCTCAGTGTTGATGTATACAATCGCCATACAAACTACCGGTTGAAGTTTCCTTTGCTATGGGATAACCATGGGAAGGCAGCGAAAAGATGCTCCTATGAATGCACAAGCTTTCATTTTGAGATGACTAAAATTGATTATTTACATTCCATAAACAAAAATAATTAAATCTACTACATTGCTTATCGTCCTTTCAGGCTATTTTAAATAGCCTAGCGTTCCTGAGACTTATATCTAAAACAAATGCATAGCTCATTCATAAGGTCTATCATTCACAAGTGATAGTCGATAGAATCGCATTAAGATTTCTTGCTTTATTAAAAAAATTATTCTTCAATTTTTGTTGTATTTTTTTGTTCAGATTATTTATTTTAGTTTTTTAAATAAATTTAAATTCATATTTTTTATTTTTTAAAAACAGTTCATCTAATTTTTATGAATCATGGACCCTTATGTCAGCTTTTACAGTGATCTTATTCTTTTATTTCCACTGACATACAAAAAACATTAATAACAAGAAACAGTCGTTTGGTTGCCTAGCAACCAGCTAGAGTTAGAATATTGCAATTACAAGAGTTGCCAGCCGTGTTAAAACAATTATTTAAACTAACTGTCCATTGATGTCGCAATACCTTAAGCGTAATGAATGCAATTTACACCTTATGCAATTGGTCAAAATGTCACTGGTTCAACACTAGTCAACAAAATTTTTTCGTTAATGCTTTCTTTTTTTAAATTTAAATTGTTTTTATTGGTTTTTAAATTTTTGATTCATTTAATTTGATTTTTATCAATGATAATTAAAAATATCTATTTCATGATGCATATAAAGTAAATAGTGTCAATTGTATACCTGAAAGTGATGTCATCGGAGATACAGATCCTGATCTGCTGCTGAATCGTGGCATTTGTTTATGTTATCAACCGTTCTTTCCATTCTATTTCGAGTATGCCTAATCCGTCAAATATGACTTCTCATAAATGAGACGTACCGCAGTGGACTGATCGTTCAGACACGGTTCCCAACAGATCACCGAAGTCAAGCATCACTGGCTACGGTCAGTGTGCGGGTAGGTGACCACTTGGATCAGTCTGCGTAGGGACCGAGGGTGTGCGGTATTGGTCCTCGTTAAACTGTTCTACCGTAAAGTGCTCGACTTCGCGTGCAGGTCGTTGGGCTACCGAAGCGGGGGTGCCATTCCCTCTGCAGAGGATCAAAGTTGTGATGGCATGTCTTCGGATCATCCTAAGGGATGTTTCCCAGACCGTCGCTAATTGCCCATTGTGCTGCTCTAGTGCGACGTTAAATGGACAACAACATAAATGAGACATTCTATAATTTTTCGCAAAGAAATATTCGGTTTATTTCCTATTTAACACAAAGACAAAGGCCGGATAGCCTGGTTGGTAGAGCTCTGGGCCCATGTCCAAGAGTTCGTGGGTTCGATCCCAGCCGGCCGAAGACCGTGTAGTAAGTGGTGACTGATGTCGAGTAGTAAAGTCCTCCATGTTCCCATAACAAATCAATACCTCTGGGAGTACTGATCCTGGAGTTTCCTTGTCTTCCGGATTGGGTTCCAAATTACAAGTCTAACGGAGTTGAACATTAGTAGTCGTAAACCCAAAAATTGGGTCGGCTGTTCAACGACGGTTATAAAATAAAGAATAAAATAAAGACAAGCAAAATGCCGTGCAGAAAAATAACTAATTGATTATGCAACAAAATTGCTAGATACACACAAAAAAAAAATCGAGATTACAATAAAATACATAAACAAATAGTAAATGCAGGTTAATTAAAAGCCGTAAATAAGAAAGA